GAAATTTCATCTTTTCCTTTTCTCTGAAAGCTGTTCTTGTTAATCTCTGAATCGGCCGATTTTGAGGGGATTTTTACTCTACATCATCATCATGATCATCAGCCTGTATCTGTCCACTCTTGGATATAGCCCTTTCTTCTGACTTCGTGACATCCACCATGTGCGCTCTTCCGCCTTCCGCATCCATCCACTCCCTTTACTCGTATATAGCTAATATTATAAGAAGTAACTCAGACTACTTTTATATTAGAAATTGTATTTATTTTTATAAACTGAAAGTTTAATACCATGCGAACCAAGTCGCGGGTAACAGCTAGTTATAAAATAGTCTCGATGGATTTGTCCTCCATTGAATATATCTATATTAACAGTTCAGTTTGCTTATTCATGTGTAGGCAGTCGAGTCGAGACGTGGCCGCCTGACACTGTCACTGAGTCCAGTGCTCAGCACGGTGCACAGTGGACGGCGGGTAAAAATATCGACGAGATAGATAGAGAGATAGATAATAGTTTTTAATTGTATCTCAGTACACACATATAGGCTTAATTATAACATTACATCACAAGTATAACAATCCAGTAAGGGTAAACCTGCATGTGTGTACTACAGCAATACAAAACTTACGTACGTAGCTCAGTGTCCCCTCCGATCGATCCCCCGTCCAATTCAAAGGGGATCGATATTACGACGGCCTGAGCCGAGGTTCGAATCCCTAGCGGTGCCTTCAGACTAAAGTCATATTGCGGGAGTTGGCCTTCAGCCGCTCCATAAGTCCTTGCTTTGGTTTGAAGTGCCTCTGCACTCGCCCCCTGTCCGGTGAAGCTGTAAAGGCCAGTTGCGGCCAACATCACTAGAATAGTTCGAAAAAAAAGCTCAGTGTGGAGAATCAATCAAGGAGCAAACACTGATTTTCAGCTATGTCCGATGTAAGCTATATGCGAGGGTTAATATGACTTTTATTTTTTAAAAACAAAAATAAACTGAACGAAATAATATGAAATAAATAAATAATGAAGGAAACATTTTTGCCATGTGTAGGCGCGGTAGTCGAGTCGAGACGTGGTAGGCCACCTGTGACTGAGTCCAGTGCTCAGCAGTGGACGGAGAGTAAAATTTTCAACTCGGATACTTTTATACCTATTACATTTTGGACGTAAACAGTTACTAGGGCTGTGCCTTGGCGCTGCACCGGCGTCGCGTCACAAGTAAATAAACATACAGTCGCGCCGCCATGTATTATTATGTACAATAACAATTACCAGCGTCCATGCATATTAATAACAGTGTGGCCGGTCACTACAGCTACACACACATATGTAAACACTAGCTGTTTAACGCGACTTCGTCCGCGTAGAATTTTATTTTATCTTTCTAAAATAAAAAAAATATCTATTCAAAAGAGCAACACACAAGTTTCTTGCTCATTCTTCTTGTGACGAATCTGCATTCCGAATGAGTGGTAGAATCAAACTATGACTATTCAAAAGTGCTTGTAATGGAGTTTATTTGAATAAAGTTTATTTCTATTTCTAAAAGTAGCCTAAGCCTCCTTATTACATCAGCTACCTGCCAAAGAAAGTTCCGTCAAAATCGGTCCAGCCATTTCAGAGATTAGCCGGAACAAACAGTCAGAAAAAAATTGTAAAAAATGTTATTTTGGTGTATGTATCGTATTTTAAAACGTTTATTTGAATATTACAAACAGTCATTCTAATTTGATTTGTATGTATAGTTGTATAGATAACATATTTATTTATTTATTTATTTATTCTTTAATGCACAAAACATATGTACATGGGTTGACATTAACCTTTACTGGAGCCGAGCGAGTGCATAATTATACAACTCCACTGTTTATTTACATTCTAATCACACAATTGATATAATTTTTTCACTGTTACTTATAGAACCACGGCGATGGTCACCTACCTATCTGCAGTACATTGCGGTGGCCTGGTATATAACTACGAGGCATTCACACCGACGGACCGATGTAATTTAAACTGATACAGTTCAGTTTAAATTATATAATCATCCCACATTTTCTCCAATTTATATGAAAGAAGAAGAAGAAGGCGCATACAAAACATTCATACAACATATTATGCGTCGGTTATTGCTCATTACAAAGTGCAAAATAGAATATAAGATAATATAATATAATCTTATATATAAAATTCTCGTGTCACAGTTTTCGTTCCCATACTCCTCCGAAGCGGCTTGACCGATTCTCATGAAATTTTGTGAGCGTGTTGAGTAGGTCTGAGAATCGGCCAACATCTATTTTTCATCTCCCTAAATATTAGGGGTAGTCAAACCCTATTTTTTTTTTATTTTAATGCAAAACAACGTTTGCCGTGACAGCTAGTCTTATATATAAAATTCTCGTGTCACAATGTTAGTTACCATACTCCTCCAAAACGGCTTGACCGATTTTTATGTAATTTCATATACATATTCAGTAGGTCTGAGAATCGGCTACTATCTATTTTTCATACACCTAAGTGATAAGGGTTGTCCAGCCCTATTTTTTTTTTCTTGGATAAAATAGTTTTCATTTTTTATAATGTGGCATTAAAAAATTCATACAACTCTAAATTTTCACCCTTCAAACACTAACCCCTATTTTTAATAGCAATATTAGTACTGAAATTTTTATAGCAAAACAACGTTTGCCGGGACAGCTAGTACTACAATAAAATAATATTTAGAGGAAACTCCCTGAGAAATTTGAACATTTAAAAAAATCAGAAGCTCAAGCGCTGCTACAGGAAAACGGTCGTCGCGTCGCAGCCGAACCGAAAAAGGAATATCGGCCCGGCCGTAGTAACCTGACAGCTACATACCAGGGATGTTATGGATATGAAATTTCGGATACGGATACGGATGCGGATATGAAATTATTTCGGATTCTCCGTTAGTTGCGGATAATTTCGGTTACGGATATTATTTTTTTAAGGAATTTCAAAAGGAAAATACAAATAGCCAATGAAATGGTAACATAACGTGTCTCAATCAGGCTCCGCTTGTATCAGATATTATCCGAAACTCTTATTTCGGATTCGGTTACGGTTACGGATATTTTTTATAACGGATATCCGATAGTTTCGGTTACGGTTAAGGAGCTCGCTAACATCCCTGCTTGATACTGACAGAAATAGACGCTATTACTCTAATCACGGTTTTATTATATGTAAAGATATGTAAAGAAGATAAAGATAACACACCAACTGTGTGAATACATTCCAACGCTGTGTAATGAAGATTGATTATCATTTGACACTAATTCAAATTCAAATTCAAAATGTCTTTATTCATGTAGGTCTATTACAGACTCTTATGATATATCAAATCTACCGTCAATTCGGAATGATGAGATGAGAAGAACTGACAAGAAACTCAGCTCGTGTTCTTTTCAAATAAAAGTTATACATGTTTACATTATAATATTTATATTATAATAAAATGTTTACAATAATACAGATTCATTTTTAAATTCATATTTGGGAGAACAGAGTGACCACCAGTATATGCTATTGCAAAAGCAAATAGTCTAATCAGTGTTCGTAACCCAAACAGACCAGTCCACACAAACCTAACAATTACCTAATTAAATACAATATAACCCTGAATAAAAGAACTGTAATAAATTATACCTAAGAACCATCTCGAACTTAGCAGCATTTCAATAATAAAACCGCATCATAATCTGTCAATGTGTTTAGGAGCTACTATACCACAGGCAACCACACACACATGTTAAACTTATAACAACTGTTGCAAACTCTTTGCACATTTTTATATATATACTAACTACTCGCCCTGGCTTCGCATGGGTGTACATTTATTATATATATAAACCTTCCCCTTAAATCACTCTATCTATTTAAAAAATCCGTTGCGTAGTTTTAAAGAATTAAGCATACATAGGGACGGACAGACAGCGAGAGCGACTTTGTTTTATACTATGCAATGATTTTACTGCCAATTTTAAATGTATTTTCTTTTTAGAATTGTAATATATTTTTATTGTCACTTTTTGCCTTACAATCGTTTGTACACGCATCTTCATTATAAGTATTTGCCATTTTCTATGCATTAATTGATTTATATCACACATACAGTCCATTCTGTCAATCGCCCACAACTTTGATGTCGTGGTTTAAAAAGAACTGTTCGATACTGTGTTTGTCCGTATTATCAATTTAGCAGTTGATACGGACTGCCGTTGAAGGATCAACGCAATCTTAAAACGAGCGATATTATCATTTTCCTATATCATAAAACATGTCAAACAGCGCTCGTTGTGAACAATTATTGTTTCAGTTAAACGAGTGTTACGCAACGCGGCGTTAGCGCAGACACACGCTTCACTGATAACAAGATAACGCGGACTGTCGTGATAATGTCCCGTCCGCACACGCTACACTCGCTACACTCTGCACTGTGACATTACTCTTAACCACAACCTCTTACACATTATTCAATAATGTGGCTGAGACATTGTCACAGTTGAGGTTGTGGTTAAGTTAATAAATAGAAATAGAAATAATCTTTATTCAAGGAAACTAAATACAAGCTAACTTTTAAATATTCACATTTTATTAACTGGCTTTTAAGAAAAACGTAAATCAATTGAGTTTCTTGTCAATTCTCAATTGGATCTATATACTGAACTGGGCGGTAAGGAAAAAATTTAAATTGTAATGTAAAAAATTTGACATTCATAAGCCGCTATTTAGTCCTACATGAATAAATGATTTTTGAATTTTGAATTTTCATTCGGAACGCAGGCTCATTACATGAAGAATGAGCAAGATACTTGTGCTCTTCTAAAAAAATGTTGTTTTAAGTAGATTTACATTAACAAGGATTAGGCATGCGACAATCATATCAATTATTCAGACGTACAAATGTCAATCATCATCGTCTAATATATATTCTAGTGAGGACGATACCTCCCTAAATCTTTCCAGACATAACCATTGTGGGCACGTACCTGAGCAGCCCCTCCCGCTGCACCATGTGTCGGAAGGTCTCCCCGATGGTGCTGTTGTGCGCCGTCCGTAAAGACTGCATCCGAGTCTGCAACAACGCACAATCTTCTTTTAGCAATGTGTTACATTATAACATGTCCTCTCGCATAAACGAATATCTCCTTTGGAAAGTATACACTATATCCTGAGAAGATAAAACCATCGCTCCTAAGAATATCCTTCAATTCTTGTCCCTTACGGGTCTAGGTAGCGAACTTTGAATTAGGGCGAGCACAATAGATCTACTACAGGTCGCAGTGTTACAGGTCATAGCACCTGATAATAGACCAAACATCCCAATAAAAAAACATAACATTCAAAGTAAAATAACAATGGTATGTCCATGGTCATCTTTTTATTTAGGTTTTCACACCAGCTGAGTGCACGACATCGTACTCAACACATTCGCAACAACAACAGCTTAACTCGTTTGTTTGTACTCCAATTGGAATGACAAACAATATTTTGTAAATTACAATACATCAGTAAATATCGCACGTTAACGGACGCATCCGTCAGGCGGAAGTTGGCCTTCAGCCGCTCCATAAGCTCTTTCGCGGGTTATGTTGTGCTCTCTGTGCACGTCTCCATTGCGTTTGATGAAGGTACAGAAGGCTATGTGGCCAATAGTATTGATGTAGTTTGGAAAAATTGTGTGAAAAAATATGTCAAATAAACTTCAGCGTTAAACGTTAATATAATTAGGCTGATATGAAAATTTCACAATATGTTAGGGCGATGACCATAAAACAAAAAGATACTTTAAACTTAGAAGCATGACTATCATTGCAATATTATGGACTATCATTATAATAGGATAATGCATTAAAAAATCAAACAGGAAACAGTGCAGTAGTAGATTTCTTTAACGATATAGATACGATTGCATCATTGATTCAATCGATAACAACACGCGACTTCTGTATTTCATTATTACGATAAAGCGTGTCCTTGATATTTATGTATAGAACTAAAACGCTAAAACTCGATGGTGTAACAATTTCTTTCGGTCGGTCGCTAATCAATACAAATGTATAAATTTTTGTCCCATCAATTAGCTGTTTTCATATTGGAGGAAATAACATATCTGCAGCTATCTTTAATACTACACGATCATGAACGTACACAGCACAACTACTGGCCACTGCGACGAGTACAAGTGGCACATCATCAAACGTATTTACCTGTCAACCACCGTGGCCGTCCAGTTGACCGTGTAATGGACGTGACACCTCAAAAATCGTTTCAGTCCAAAATATTACTTACAACCTGCAATCTGCTACATGACAATCATAAAAAATACTAATTTTTTCAAATGACTTAACAATATAAAGGAAAAAATTATAGATTACACAGGAAAGGTACACACTGGCTTCATACAAACAAGGTTTTTTAATCACTGGAGACGTTGTTGTGTGGACAAGGTGTAATTTACAGCGTGACAAGCTTGACGTGTGGAGCAGGCGGGCGGCGGGTCACTGTGAGTCCTGCACTCGTATATATTGAGGACAGCTCGCCGTCCGACCATTCCCACTGTAATGGAAGCCCGCGCGGTCGTCCGGTGCGCCCTGGTGGGGCTGCTGATGGCGCTGAGCGTCACCTGCATGGACGAGGACATGGCGGAGCTCATCAAGATGGTGCACGACAACTGCGGCGAAGAGACAGGCGTCGATTTCGGCTTGGTGGACAAGGTGAACGCCGGTGAAGATCTGATGCCCGACGCTAAGCTCAAGTGCTACATCAAATGCATCATGGAGACTGGCGGAATGTTAAGCGACGGTGAGGTAGACATCGAGGCAGTGATGGCCTTGCTGCCAGAAGAACTCAGCAAGAAGAATGAAGCAAAACTGAGGGAGTGTGGCACTCAAAAAGGCGCTGATGACTGTGACACCGCATTCCTCACACAAGTATGTTGGCAAAAGGCTGCCAGAGGAGACTACTTCCTTGTGTGAAGCAAAGTTTCCTTCAGAGCAAAAAATCCTTTTATATTATTTTTTTCAGTCAGTTTTTGTACATCTTCTTAACATTGTAAAACATTTTGTACACTAACTCTTTTAAAATCTGCAGTTTGTACAATATTCTACCGTTATTTGTATGTTTAAATTAAATTACTATATTGTTATTCACTATTTATTTCTAATTACTTAATGAATACAATTTCCTTTTGACAATTAACACTTTGCTATATAAATAATAGTGTTAGTTAACACTACTAAACATAATCAAACAGATTGGCCTGAACATGGGACATTTTCCAAAATAATAATAATAATAATAGAATAGAATAGAAATCATTGATTCAAATAAACTTAATTTAAGCACTTTTGAATAGTCATAAGATTTAAGAACGAGAAAGAAACTTGTGTGTTGCTCTTTTAAATAATCCTTGTAAGTTCACATTTACAAGTCGAAACTACCAACCAGCACTAATTTATTAGGGTCAAATATAAATACACAACATTAAATCAGTCGTATTGATAAGAGCAGACCAGTCCCTACAAGCAGCACTCGTTCACGAGTATGACGGATGAAACAGCCATCACTGCCAGCTGTCAGCCATCACCATTGAAGAGTAGCCAATGAGAGTAATCAGTGGATCATTTAAATTTTCAACTTTATTTTAATTTATGTCAAATTGCTATCTGGAAGTTTGTATAGCCACAAATTTCTTAAAAATTTCATTTCAAACAAATCTTATTTGAAGAGCATCATCCTAGTTTCTCACTCATTCTTCTAGTGATGAATCTACCAAATAGTGATGAACCAAATGAGTGGTTGTAGAATAAAAAATATGACAATTCAAAAGTGCTAATATTAAGTTCAATTAAATAAATATTATTTCTATTTCTAATTCCTGGTGATGTTGAGCATAGGAGTACTGTGGTGAATCCTAGGAGTGCATGATATCAACCACACTAAATAAAACAAAGCATATTTATCAATAGACCTACATAAAACTGAGAATATGCATCCATACTTTTTATAATTAATAGTAACAAACATATGTTATTGTTGGACTTTTGTGGTTAGAACATGACATTATAACTCAAGATTTTTTTATCAGTATGCAACACATTTTCTGTCATAAATTGAGCACTAATTTTTACTTTAATGAGAAACATTGTATAGAAAATATGAAACTAATATACAACTGCCACACAGACCATGTTCTCAAACTTTTATACAATATACTGGTGCCATAACCCAGTTTCCCACAAATGAAATTATTTTAGAGATTTTAAATACATTGCCTATGTTACTTTTATAGAACAGCCAGCTACTCGCCCCGGATTCGCACGGGTGTATGTGTATTATACATATAAACTTTCCTCTTGAATCACTATCTATTAAACAAAACCATTTCAAAATCTGTTGCATAGTTTTAAAGATTTAAGCATACATAAGACGGACAGACAGCAACAGCGACTTTGTTTTATACTACTAATAGTAATGCTGTGTCGAAATATAAATCATATAAAATAGGTCATAGACTAAATAAGTGGCCTGTATTCCACAGATACATACATAACATACAAAGAAAAACCATACCATAAATTTATAAAAAAATATATCTATGTATTTATATCAGTTGCCTAGTACAACACAAGCTATGAGATTAGATAGCGTAGTGTGAATGGACCAGGGTTATTATTATTCAATAAAAAACCAATAACAATTGACTTATTATTATACTAGCTACTCCTCCCGGCTTGGCCCGTATGTACATGTAATATACATATAAACCTCCCTCTTCAATCACTATCTATTAAAAAGAAATGGCTTCACAATCCATTGCATAGTTTTAAAGATTTAAGCATACATAAGGACAGACAGACAGGGACTTTGTTTTATACTTATTATTATATTTGCATGACTCAGAAAAAGTAAACTTAGTATATAATAAACAAAATGCGAAGTCATTGACTTATCTCCATAGAATACTGTGTATATGTATGGAGTATAGTACCAGAGCAAGTGCAATTGCATAAATGTTGTATCAAAATAAATCACTCTGCAACTGTGACACATTAGTAAATATAATCATTAAATTTACAATTATTATTAATAATAATAATAATGTAAATAATCATGCTCTGTAGTTATTAAATAGTCCAATTCCAAACATTCTTCTATTGATTAATTTAAATTAAAATATTAGAACCAGTGACTTGGTAAAAATAAACCCATCCTTGTCTCTACAAAACCAGCTATAGCTGAGAAAATGCGACAATAGCGTAAACAATAATAATAATCTCAGGACAATTCACACAGCGCCATCTAGACCCAAGTTAAGCTAGCTAAAGATTATGTTATGTGTACTAGACAACTGATACAAATACATAGATATATTTTTTTATAAATACATACATATTATACACAGAAAACATCCAGACAGATACAAACAATTATACTTATGAATACAAATGTTGTACTGTGCGAGGAATCGAGCCCGCAACAAGCAGACATAAAGCAGTGTGCTAAACTGTTAGACCATAGAGGTCGTCGAATTATTATTATAATACAGTATGATAATTTACAGCAAAGAATATTAGTGAGTCTATGACATATATTATACATTCTCCTATGGCAAGATCAATAAATATTATATGTTAGATAGAGCATGTGGCCAGTCCGGCCGAAACAATCCGATCAAAAATGTGACAGAATGGTATACAAGTAAACAAAAAGAAAAAGAGGTAGACCACAGAGTTGGCAGGCAAATGAAATATAGCTAACAGATGGCCCATACTGGAGAATGTAGAAGACAGCTCCAAATAAAGTAGTCCGAAAAAAATTTGAAATGCCCTCTGACATATGGCATAGTAAAATTTAAAGCATTTTTAATTTTTATAATAAGAAAAATAAACAATACTGCAATCATTAGAACAACTAACATATATATGTAACAAAAAATATATAAAGAAAAGTGCATTTATTATTATTATTTACTATAATCATCACCAATTTATAAAATATATAATTACATTATAAAGAGAATCATTTCTTGTACCCGTTTGTATTATTATCATTTTGAAGATATGTTCTATCAGATATTGATCTTTGGATGTTGTTATGATTCCTTTAATTTTATTACAATATAGCAAGTAACAACAATTCATTACTTAGATAACCTTTACAAATGGTTGCATGATTTTTCTGATGACAGGCCATAGGTTATGATTATTTATATCTGTACTGTAGTGAGTACACTACTGGCTGTGACACTGTAACCAACAATTTTTGCATTATCATGACAATTAATCAAACATCGTTTATGTCAACAAGGACACATATGGAGCCACATGTGCGTATAAACTAAAAGTAGTCTGCCTGCACTGAGTCAAACACTGCCAGTGTCAATGCATGACATCAATCAGATCAACTAACAGCACCTCCATTCTACTGAACCATACTTATCCAGATAATATTTGTATTTGATAGAAATATAAATCAGCAGTGAACTGAATTTACCTATTACTCTGAATAAAAGCGCGCAAAGCAATAAGAAACTATACAACCATCGCTCGCGCGTCAATGTAACTCAATAATTTTATACATATATATTGAAGGTAAACAGTACATTTTGTCATAGATTTTATTTAATAAAACAGGTTTAACATCCAGTAAAAGCTACACATTTGTCAATCTCACGTTTTTTATATAATCAGAGCCAAATTATGGCGTAATAGGGCAGCCGTCAGCCGACTGAACTGTCAAAGACCGTGATAGGTTAGATTTTCGAATACGATTCTAAAAAGAATACCTGTACGGTTTTTAGATGAAAAAGTGAAGCAAAAACGAAGCTTGGATTACCTTTACGGAGTCGAGCGGGTACATTATGCAATGCTCCATCACCCCCGCAATCGCTCCGGCGGTCATATGTGAGGTGAAGTTTTGGGTAGTCGGAAGGGTTTCATAGTCGTCAAAGTTCATAATACTCAATGAATACTGACACTTATCACAAGTTTAACACAAAATTGAGTTATTAGGGAAGGGTTTACTTTTGTTTCATCGAATTAGTAATATCATTTTCACTGCACTATTTTCGTCACAAGTCATCCGAAATTTAGAACATCAAAATTGATTCCATACGTGCGACTTGCAAGCACGCGCGACTGTCTGCAATTTGACAAGTTGATAGTTTGTCAAAGATGACATTGTGACATTTAAATGACAGCTACAGCAGACATTGTCCATAGACATTTTTGTTTAACTTTGTTCTATGGATTGGGCTACGACCTCACGCTATTATACCATATCATAGGAAGTTCTTAAGATTAAAGCAAGATAGGTATTTCGACAAACTCAAACCCAGCGCGCTGAATTTAAACAGGACCATAGACAAGACGCTATTAATTTTACTTATGTCTATCAAAAGACGTATTATGTATTATTGTTTTATACACTGGTTTCTTCATTTATTTTATTTTTTATTTATAACTCTTTATTACACTTTTAAAAAAATTCAAAACCAAACAATATTCATAGTATGTAGGTACAAAAGGCGGTCTTATCGCTTAAGCGATCTCTTCTGGAGTAGCAGAGTAACCTTTAGGTAGAGGAGAGAAGATTTTAGAGTATTATGTTCCTTGGTGTAGGAATATTAAATATTAATAGTAGGTACCTATATTAAGTTTGCTGTGCAATGTTGCTGTGATATAAAAGATCATCAAATGTTAATTACTGACTTTTATCACTAAATAAAAAGTAAAATAAGCATGACGAAGTGATTGTAGCGATCACATAATGCTGATATCAACGTATGATAGATTAAGATTTCGTGTCAGTCATTCCTTGTTTTTATAATGCAGCATCAACACTGTCTGTCTGTCTTCATTGTTATGTATTTATTATGGGGTAAGTACATACTAACATGCGAAGAAATACAATTTTAAGGTGATGCTATACATAAATAGTATTGATATTAAAATTATTTCGTGTCAATGCTATGAGTATTTCATTGTTTAAACAACTACTACATATGAATTAGCTTTTATTAAATCGTTTTCAATAAATAGACAAATTATAACTTTCCCTTATCATTAACCCCTATTCGCTCTATACTATTAGCAATAACTGAAACACTTTGAGGGTTGGTTTAGATCAGTATATAGCGTGAAGAGTAAAGGGTAGAGCTGAGTGCTGTTAATGAAATCTCTTACTGTCGTACCTATCCATTTTACCTACATATTTTGACAGCATACAGTACTTCTATTTTATATGACACTAGCTGTGCTCGCGGTTTCATCCGCGTTAAATATAAAATATAACCTATAAAATATATGTATTATTCTGATGTATAAGCTATATAGTAATATAGTTTCATCATAATCCGTTCAGTAGTTTTTGCGTGAAAGAGTATCAAACATCCATACTCCCAAACTTTCGCGTTTATAATATTATTCAAATTATTACGAGAGTACAAAACGAAATATATAATGGCTACCGAATATATACTGTATTTACAATACGGCGTGTGTGTTTGTTTAGGACTGCAGATGTACAGCGACGCTCAGTACTCTGCCGACCCGAGTATGACGTTTGAGATTATGACGTTCGACCAGGTACTACGTGGAAGCTACAACTCCACAACCTGCATTAAAGAGTTCATGAATTGTATGGAAGTAATAAAGTACGTATCCATCTAATACACACTTAATATTCGTCATCTTTATTTACAAAATTCAAAGTGTGTGTGCATATTTATTGCGGCACCTATATTTAAAATTTTATATATTTCTTTAAAAAAGTTACCGCTCCTTAATAAATCTTAATATATCCTTCTTGAAAATCCCCATGTTGTAATCTATCGAGAAAACCTCGGCAAGTAGTTCATTCTACAACCTAAGTGTACGCGGGAGGGAGTTCCTCTAAAGCCGCACTGTCCGAGACAACTTAGGTTCTAGGGTGTGGGGATGAATTCCCTGTTAGTGGAGAGCGCTGCGATGGCAAAACCTATTAAGGGCTACCTAGCCGTGGGCATAATCCATATTATCTATAGCATAATATGGAACCTAGTTGGATAAATTTGCTTTTCAATAAATTGTTGTCTAATAAAAAATGGTTCTGCAGTAAACAACGTTGCTTTACTGCTGCCTATCAAAGTCTTTAAAGTTTCCGTGTGTGCAGGCCGGATCTAATATGTTTGGATGGCAGATTGCAAAATTCTATTTGCGCTCATATACGAGATAAGTGCTCACAAATGGACGGACACCATTTTGGTAAGTTGCAAACAGAAGCGGATCTACCTACCCACCTACTTCGCGTCCTCCACACATTGCTTTGATAGTGGCCGTTTATTATTTACATTAAATACCTAATACATAATATTAGTACTTACTAGCTGGTGCCCGCGACTTCGGCTGCACAGAATGAATCCCTGAACTCGATTATTTTAATCTTCAAAGTGCTATCTATCAGTATTTTTTTTTATGTTTTTTTTTTATTGCACTTTTAAAAATTGCACAATTTGGCGAGCTCAATGCCATATAGCTTTCTCTACCAGCTAACCATTAGGTAAGAACAGTAAGCGGTTGATAGGCAGTGGTGGGAAAGAACTAACCTATAATTTTATCTAACATAGATAAATAGATCTTTAAGAATTCTTACAAATATACATACATAAATATAAATATATACTTACTATAATACATACAATTCATAATATATATATGATTCCAAAATTCATCAAAATTGCCTTGTATTCTTTTTGACAATTCTCATTTACATTAGAGCACCGCCATGTTTCTCTGCACCACTCATGGTTGTCTGGTAGATAACGCCGCTAGGTTTTAAGTGCATCGAAGTTAAATAAATAAATAGGTTTAGTCGTGAAGACGTGACATAACGTGAGTTATTCTGGTGTATATATTACGCCTTCTTTAGGCGTATTTATTTCATACTGATACTGATTTGACAAATCGTTATATTTTCGACAATTCACACAACATCTTTATGAAATGCCTATTTGTTACTGTGATGTATAAGTCATAGTACAGTAGTTTTTACCATCCTGTTAATATATGTATATGTTTGTTTCTCTTCTCATAGTAACAAAGTATTTAAATTCACACTAGTACCTATTACGTATTTAAAATACCGTATTTTTAAGAATGCATCTCATCTTGGTTATTTCATTCTCATCTTATATTTTTCCTATTATTATAATTGTCGTTTGTTTTCAGATAATAAATTATTTATATACGAATCCAAGTGCGAGTCTGATGAAGCAACTTAACTTTGTACACAAACGGACATACGGCCCCGGAGCAACGAGAAGCGACAGGAGAATGCTACCCAGTACACACAATTACATAAATATTAAAAAAATAATGATTTCAACTTTACTACTGAACGGATTTTAATGAAACTTTACAGTTATATAGCTTATACGTTAGGGGGCGTCCATAAATTATGTGAGATGTTTAAGGGGGGGAGGGGGTCGAGTCATATCTCATCTAATCTTACGTTGGAGACATGGGGAGTTTCGGCAAAAATCACGCAATTTTCTTTCTGATTGATACAAAAAAAATAAACTATTTTAGTCCATTTAATCCAGATTGTACATGCTTATTGCTTATAACTCTCAGCAATATTGATTACTAGTCTTAATTAGTCGTAAATAAAAGCACAAAGCAAATTTTTTTTTCTTATTACAATAACAATCCAACGCGTTTACGTAAGAAACCCACATTTTGAAAATTCTCATGTGAGATTGGGGGATGGGGGTTGAATAAAATCTCACGACATCTCACCAGTGGGGAGGGACAGAAAATTCAAAAAAACACCTCACGTAATTTATGGACGCCCCTTTAGAATAACATAGGCTTATCATATAAAAAGATAGTATGTAAATAGCTTGTCACATTATGTGACAATCATGAACCACGTCAATGTGCTGACGGTCGTAACAAGTTTCCCTACAAGTGTGGATGTGTCTTTATTTGGAATATTTGTCCATACAAGAACCTGAAATGCTCCCATGAGCATGAAATGTTCCAGGATTTGTGTCACTGTTCTCCCTGGACTTCTTTGTTATCTTGTGCAAGCGAATGAGTTATTTTTTTTTATAAGCTACGATGTATAAATAAAATATAATTACTGGTGGCCCGTATACTTAAAGTAGCTTATTTGGAATGTTTTGTTTTATTTATCACTGGATTTCACAAAGATAAATTTACATATCCCATCCTCCTGGTTGGTATTGGGACTTGTAACAGCCGCTGTCACACGAACCAGAAAGAATAGAATAGAATAGAAAATTATTTATTCAAATAAACTTACAGTGAAGCACTTTAGAACAGTCATCACTTTTTTTTTTAATCTACCGCTCATTCGTAAAGCTGTCTCATCACAAGAAGAACGAGCTATATACTTGTGTGTTGCTCTTTTAAATAATTTTATTCTTACTTTACGGTAGGTCGGTAGTTTGTATTCACACACTTCAACTTAAATAGTCGAAGTGTGTGAATACAAACTACCGATTAGGACTAATTCAATTAAATAAGAATCATGATAATTTAATTTAATAACTCTACTTTTATAGAGAAAGACTTAGTTATCTCACCGTGTATCCAGTAGATGATTATTTTATTATCATTACATATAATAAAACAAAGACATACCGTCTATGTATGCTTAAATCTTTAAAACTACGCAACGGATTTTGAAGCTGTTTTTTTAATAGATAGAGTGATTCAAAAGGAAGGTTTATATGTATACCCGTACGAAGCCGGGGTGAATAGCTAGTTTTTTATAAACAAACAAAATTTTCAATACAATGATATTAATAAATAATGTGTATTTATTAATATCATTGTATTGAAAATTTTTGACAAGTTGAAGGTTGAATATAAATAAAAACACAATTAATCGGAAATGCAAGTTTTATTACTTTAAAAGCATAGTTTCCATTTAAATCCTTGAATAAAATACCTCTCATTTGACACTTCCAAATCCGCAAATATATTAAAATTATAAATATATATTATAAATTATATAATTATTACAATTAGATTAGACATCGGAAAATGGCGGACGCGCACCTCTCACGAGACACGTACGTCGGCGCGCGCCGCTCTACTCGTACATACATACACAGTAATGTAAGCGTTATACAAAATAAACTCTATATACATCTACATAATTACAGTATAAATAATATAATTAACTCTCTCCCCGCACACTGCATACATACATACATACGTACATAGAAAGCTGTCATTGACTATCATGTACCTAGTTGCCCTACTGTGATAGTGTCCCTACACTGGGTGCGTCTTACTGAGTACAACCGAGCACTAGTTCTTTATCCAAGCTACAAGTGGTGAAACAAAAAGAAAGTACATACAATATTGTGAACATCACCTGACCACTCCAAGAAAAGCAGATGATGATGATGATGATGATGAACAGTTCATCATACTTTGTTAGAAGTAAATATGAATATCAAATTATTACCCATAACCGTATTGTATATCGCGCTGCATTTCGCTCCCACTCCATTACAGCAGTGCAATAGACAAATTAACCTTATCGGCAATCGAAGGTTAAGGGAAGAAAGAATTTATATTGAGAATAATAAGTATTATTGGAATTATATAAATATTATATAAAATGGAATCGAAGAGAAAGCAGTGGCCGACCGTCGACCAACAGCTGCGGTGATGACCACCACCAGCGGCAGTGACCACCACCAGCGGCAGTGACCACCACCAGTGGCAGTGACCACCACCAGTGGCAGTGACCACCACCAGCGACAGTGACCACCACCAGTGGCAGTGACCACCACCAGTGGCAGTGACCACCGCCAGCAGCCAGTCAGCCGCCGCGCCGGCACCAAATGGTAACAATTAGGCATCTCAATTGTTGTAAGCTATCTAACCTTACCTTACCTACTAATAAAATAGCATAAGCCGTCAAATATTTGATGAAAAAATATTATATAATCAACTATATTGCAACTAAAAATATTATCTGCCTAGAATAAAATTAAAAACAATAATGTAATTTATGTTCGCACGAGGCGAGCCGAAGCGCACACACACACATCTCACACACGCACATACATCCATCCACACACGCACACACCCATCCAAAACGCGCACACACACACCCCGAACACTCGCACAGTTAGTCACAGTCTAGGAACATCACCTGTGTTGGTAATAACTGTCAAGTCGAGGGTTAGTTATATATATATCAATATAAGTATCATTACACTGTAACGATCGCATACACGACCTACCACGGCCTGTTGTCTGCTTTTTAATCCCGGAAACAAATTTGACGTTTCCGATGTTGCCAGGTATTTGCATGTTTTAAATAGGGTTGTGGCAATCGGAAATTAATATTAATTACCCATTTTTATAGGTTATTCAGAAATAGTAGTTAGCTTTTATATAAAACGAATTAACACAAAATTAATAAAGTTTAGGTATTAATAAATATATGGTTGTTGTATCAAAATAGATTTTTCTGTTTTCACTAAAATAAAATTTAACTGCCTTCTTTATAAAACAATCACCTATTTAAAATAATTTGCTGTTTGAAAGAAAAAAACTTTTGGTTTGTAGTTTAATACTGTAAAAAATACTATTTATACGGAAACGACAAAAATGTATTTTTATACTGTATAATACGACAACAGTAATGGAAACACTAGTATTATATATTATAATTCTGTTGTGGAAACGTCATTTAAAGCTTTAAAACTAATATGTGAAAATAAAAGTTTCCGAGAGATACACCGCTGTGGGTGGTAACATTATTTAAAAATTTGACATTTACACCTGTCAATTTAGTCTCCGGGATTTAAAAACAGACTATAGTGGACAGAGACACGTGTGAGTCCACCGGAATTCATAAACATGAGGCTATCTACAATATGAACATTACTGATGTGAGGCGGAAGGTTATCTACCAAACATAAAAGTTATTTATCATAAAATAATATTGTATTACTACTGCAATAGACAATGAACACAAACCAGTTGTCGTACTACACAAGGGGCGTGCGCGTGAATGAAGCGGTGTCTGTCTGTCTGTCCACCGCTCACGCGAGACTACGGGCGTGCACTCCACTCACAGCTGCTTTGAGACATTCGTTAAATAACACTGACACCTAGCAGCACCTTTCAAAATGCATGAAACATCTATATGATATTTAAAAAATAATCGAAAATCGACGCGTTAGTTCGAAGTGTGCGGTCCGGCTCCGACGGACCATACACTGGCGTGCGGCGGCGTACAGCTGCGTACTGCCGCGTACAGCCGCGTACGTCAGTGTACGAGAGCGCCGTGGCGAGTCCCGCGGACCACTCACGAAAGCTACACTTACCAGCTACCTACCGTTACATAGCGACAGAGTCTATTTGTCCCAACTTATCACCTAAAGCGAAGTAACGCAACTTATACGCTGTAATATATTTGGTTCTCACTAAGACAAAGTGGTACACGCGTTCACACAAATCACAATATATATAATTATAATTTATAAAAACAAGGCATCGGGCGCGGCGGAGGGCGGCGCCAGTTCTATGAACTGTCCTCGCGCTAGTTATACGAATTTATTATGTCAATAGTTATTAATATCATCACTATGTTACTTAAACTAAATTGAAAAACGCCGCGTAACGTCAGTACGGACCGTACGGACCGTACGGACCGTACGGGCCGTACGGGCCGTACAGAACGTACGGTGCGACCTCGTGCGGCGCTGCACCAAAACAACTTCGCAAATAAATAATATGTTTATAATTTAAACAACAGCGCGCGCCGCACGTCGCTTGCACGGACCACTCGCTTACATTGCTTCTCTACACCATACTATTCCTATTCTCTGCTTAAATCCCATCAAATTGACGATCCGCTCTCCCTGACTTAAATGTAAGCATATTAATAGTACACGGCTACATCAAAACCGGAGTGATATCGACGAGTGGTCCAGACGTCCCGGTCCATGTCGGCTCGCAGCTGCAGGCCGTGCTGGTGCTGGTGAGGCAGTGCTGGTTCTAGAACAGCCGGGCGCGTCTCTTGAGCTCGTTGCGGCGCCACTGCGGCAGTCGGTAGAACTCCGGCCGGGTGGTCTGCAGGATCGCCTCGAATTCCGCGTCCGAAAGGTGCCTCTGTGAACAGACATACAAATAATTACATATAGCTGTAGTACATATACTTGGTGACCTGTGAATGAGTACACTGTCAGTAATAATAATAATAATAATCATCTCAGGACAATTCACACAGCGCCATCTAGACACAAGTTGAGCTAGCTAAAGCTTGTGTTATTGGTACTATACAACTGATACAAATACATAGATATATTTTTTTTCGTACATATTATACACAGAAAACACCCAGACCGATACAAACAATCAACATGAATACAAATGTTTGTGCCATGCGAGGAATCGAACCCGCGACCATCGGACTTAAAGCGGTAGTGCTAATCTGCTAGACCACCGAGGCCGTCAGTGAACTTGGAACATCAATTGTTATATTTACATTAAAACAGTTAGCAATGCCTCTAACAACATTATCCAACACAACACAAGTGTTGAAGTCAACATATAATAGTGCAATATTAAAAAAAAATATATAGGTATGATGATTAGAATTTACAATAAATTATCAACTGATATAAAAATGCAAAGGTCAAAACCTTTTTTCAAGAGACCCCAACGACCCCTACGACCCCCACTGAGACCCCCACGACCCCCACCGACACCCCCACGATCCCCACCAAGAAATAGAAAGTCTTTATTTAATTAAACTTATTACAAGCACTTTTGAATAGTCATATATTGATTCTACCACTTCATTCGGAATGCAGATTTATCACAAGAAGAATGAGCAAGAAACTTGTGTGTTGCTTTTTTGAATAGATGACCCCCCCACGATCCCCACAGCGACCCCCCCGCGGCCCCAATGATGGGGTGGGTGTGTTTACCTCTAGGTTGAGGCGGTCGACGTCGGGCGGTAGGCGGTAGTTGGTGATGAGCAGCAGGTGGTACGGGTACAGCTTGGCGGGCTCGTGCACCAGGTGCGACGTGGCCATGTTGGGCAGCGAGCGGCGCACGCCCGTGCGGGGGCCCAGCGCCGTGACCCCCGAGACCCCCACCGGACCCACCAGGGAGACCCCCCCGCGACCCACCGTGCCCGGCCCGCCGTCCGTCGTCTGAGGACACGCCCGCAAACAAAACTACAATTAACAGAAAATACAAAACAATCCAAAAATAATTGTTCGTTGCTTTGCCAAATGCTCATTGTTTAACAAGAAGACTTAGCATAAAGTAAGTTCCACTTAATACTGCCTAACGTGAATCGATTCCCTTCAAAAGTGATCAAAAAAACAAATCGATTGACACCTAACGAAAATAAGTGTTACGTATCTACCTATATTTGACATATAATATAATTTTTAAATGTAAATGTATTAATTCTATTTTATAATTTAAAAACAATGCCGAAATATGTGTACAATTTTATTAATACTGACATTCTTTTAATATTTATACCGTAGTCCATGCAAATAAATACATTTCATTGATAAAACTGAGTGTTAATACAAAAAATACAATGTTTTACTGTATATAACAATAATAATAATCCATGACTATTCCCACAGTGCCATCTATTCGTAAGTACTAGACAACTGATATAAATACTTAAATACATTTTTATTGTAAATACATATATAAAATACCTATAAAACACCCAGACCGATACAAACAATCATACTCCTGAATACAAATGTTTGCACCATGCGAGGAATCCAACCCGCGACCATCAGAAGTAACAGCGCGAGAATTTGTGTTCTTGTATACAAATAATAATGGGGTGTCGCTTCAAGGGAGGCTTGTGACTGCGGAGCGCCATCCCAGACTATGGCCCACATCTATTGACCTGTCGTTTGTGCCCAACATCCTGCATAATGGAACATCTAAGAGGTGCGACAGAATGAGCAAAAGTCGTCGCAACGTTCTGGGGAAACTATATTTAATTGCCGTTGAAACAAAAGAAGAAAAATGACCACCAACTCACCACAGCACTCCTGTCCACGTCTGTTATAGAGCCGGCAGATACTGCAATAATTGCAAGCATATTATAATATATAACACAAACGTATGAACATATTTATAAAAATAAAAATAATCTTTATTCAAATAAACTCAATACAAGCACTTTTGAATAGTCATATTTTGATTCTACCACTCATTCAGAGCGCTGATCATCACAAGAAGAACGAGCAAGAAACTTGTGTTTTGCTTTTTTGAATAGATGTAAAATAAAAATAAAACATTAAAATAGATGTATATAAGTGAAGCAGCTGGGTATAGCAGGGCCGTAACTACGGTGGATGCTGCGCGAGCCTGGGACAGACAATCACACTAACAACTAACAACAGGAGGGTGTTTCGTAACATTTGATGAAAGGGTGATAATAAATCTATTCAGATCCAATTATTTTACTTATTTAGGTCTTATTTTGCGCAAGTCAATTTTATAACTTAAGGTCAATTTTATAACAAAATAATATAAATCATATTATTTTGTTTAATTCCGCTATCATTAGCATCTTCGAGCTATATCCGAACTCTATTCAATGCCTGATGATGCCTGAGGCGAAACACTAGTCGAAATAAGGGTGTAGACTCAATAACGCTTAATTACTTAGTACGTACTTAGTTTTTTAAGGCTCGTCTTAAAAAACTTTGGAGTCACACTGCAGATGCGCTGTTTTAGTATTCTTCATATATATTTTTTTTTAATATAGTAATATTGTTTTTTATATATTTCTGCTGTTACTATTTATACATTTGTTATTTTATTATTATTATTTTATATATATGTATTTATATATTATACTTAAATATTTATTTAATATTCTAGTTGTTATATATTATAGTTATATAATGCGTTTGCTTCTTTTTCCTTTGTTGTTATTGTCATGTATATATATAGTCCCACCACTCCACAATTCCTTGCAGTCATTCAAAGGTTGACTGGAAGAAATCCCTCATTTGGGATAAGTCCGCCATTGTACATCTTATATATATTTTTTTTTAAGATCGTGTTTCTTTAGTTAATTTAAATGTATTTATTGTGCAATAAAGTGTTACAAACAAACAAACAAACGGTCGGAATTTGATCACCAATAGAGAAGGTCGTAACTTCCAGTAGCGGTGGTCAGGCTTCCGCACAGAATATTTGTGTTCTCACACATGCAAACGGAATTAAACAAAATAAAATAAATCCATTAAGTAACTATTCAGATTCATCAGTACACGTTATTGTTATCTTTTGACTTTTTTTAAAGATAACCGTGTATAAGCAAAACAAAATAACAGATATGAGTAATATATGTAAAAAAAAACAATATTGTTCAATTATAATTAGCATACAGGTTTCACATCTGTAGCCAAATTTATTGATATATTTTAATTAAATTTTATAAATTACCTGATAACATGTTCAAGACAAAATTATTAAAACTCAAAGATGACTTAGAGATTATTAAAAAAAAGCTCGCTACAAGGGTAACCAAGGCTAGGGGTGGGGGTAATACATACGCTACGCTTCTTACACGTTTGAAAACTACAACATAGTAATAGCTCAAGGCAAATATTTTAACGATATGATTATAACATTTTGATCTGTAAAAGCGACTGTAATCGACCGTGTGTAATATAAAGTACAGTCATATGAATAACAAGGGCGATGAATATAAATTATAATAATATTCATTTAAAAAACCACAATCTAGATGAATAAATCATAATAAGCATATTATTGCCGTTAGTTCTGATCTCTTATTGCGGCGGATGACTGCGGGCGAGGCGAACAAGTGCGGTCACATTGCCACAGAGTACTATATGTACACAGAGTAGAAACTTGAGCACTGGCTCAATCTGAAAAGTAGTTAATGAAACAATACAGATTATATTGAGAATATGAATACTGTAACAGCAATAACATCAATATTTAACATTGCTGTTGTGTTTTTTTTAGCGTAGGGGACAAACGAGCTTGCAGTTCACTTGATAAGTAATTATTGCCACCTATAAGCACCCGCAACACCAGAAGAATACCAAGTGCGTTACTAGCATTTTAAGAAGGAATAAGTTCTTTTCTTGAAAATTTCAATATCGTATCGCTTCGGAAATACCATTGCTGGAAAGTGATTCCACAATGTGATTATGCGTATTAAGGAGTTTCTGTAAAAACGCACTGTGGAGGACCCACACTCATCCAGATGATCTGGATGGTATTTTAATTTCATAATCCTAAATAATAATCATGAGAATATTATTAATTCCTGGCGGGTAGTGCGATAATTGACAAATAAATTGCTACATTCCAGAATGAGCACTGGCTGAGAAGCTTTCACTCTGTGTAGTGGTGTAGACGCGGGGGGCGTGTCTCGCACCAAGCCAAGCGGAGTACTTACCGCACAGGTCCGTCCGCACTGCGCGCACAAACCAACAACAACGCGTCAGTGAGCCAATACTCCGCTACAGTACTATACTACCATACAACGAGCCGCCCCACAATATGTATGTACACTAATCATAGGTCATTCTTTATTCAAATCTAGCTGACCTGTCCAATTTTTATACTCATCTGCATTATTACACTTACTTGACGTTTATCATTATATTTCACCCAATTTACATAATATCTTTTTAAATTATAGCCTACTTATTATTCTGATGCTATAGTATATAGTATATTAGTGTAAAGTTTCATCAAAATCCATTTAGTAGGTTTTGAACTCAATAAACAGTATTATACTGCAACCGAATATTTCAATGAGAAGCTTTATATCTTTTAATATGATAGAAATCAATAAACCAACTCATTTCTTTTTATTTATTTATGTTACAATCTAAATCTTAAAATATAAGTTAAAACCCTGTACCCTAAATAGTAAAATAATAGGTTTTCTCTATTTGTAGCTATAAGAGAGAAAGTGTTATCGAAAATATATTATTGATTGTTGGATAGTACTAATTTTACATTCTACTCGCAGCATATACTTCAGATATGAGATAACTAATTTATATATATGTTGTATACTCACTGTCTGACTTGCCGCTGCTGAAGTCTGTGCTATGCGTCTTGTCGCCCATCCCGCTGAATGTGAAGTCGCCCTGTACACGCACACCAGCACAATTAACTAACAAAGTCTGTACACACACATACACACACACACAATATATCTAACATTTATTTCGTCAACACATTAAAGCATGCTTTATAAAATAAAAAAAAAAAGTGATAAATTTGAATAACTATATCTATTCTCGTGGCAACTGTCTCACTTGGTAGAATACTGTGTATCATCTACGATACAAAAACAACTATCTTGAATCGAAGCATACAATATAACACCTATTTATAAAGAGTGTGTCTTGGATGTTAAGATGGCCACTTGGATTTTTAATAAAATAATAATGACGGACGACGACAATTTTATTATCTTTATTTGAGAACCGGAAACGGAATAACATTAAGAAAAAAATACAAGCACAGAGTACAAAACTAAATAGATTACTTTTTCTATAATATTAGGTATCTGGATACTCTAACAGAGTGCACATGGATACTTAGCAGCTGGTAACACTGTAATTGATATTTTAGATATAACAAAACATTACTGATGTCATAGACAATATGCAACTTGTAGCCTGCCACTGTAGGTAAATTGTAATATCTCGGCTGGAGTTGTACAAAAGTGGAAATTAAATAAATATAATAATATTAAAGTAAATTAAAAGAGGCACGGACGAAAATGTCTGTGGAAAATTGTATTTAAAAATAAAAAAAACACACTTGTAGCTATGTGTACATACCTGATATAATGTAGGAATATGTAATATATATAAGTGGCCGTTCACACCCGCCTCCTTATACAATATACCAACCAGCACTATTGACGCACCCAGCCTTGGGCGGGTTACATTTTTTTTTATACTACGATGTTGGCAAACATACTCTTTATATTCGACGCCATGAGAAACTTATTTTCTATATTACATGCATGTCAAAAATTTACAGTGCAGTTTAAATAGATCTAAAAGTTTGTCATTACATATATGAGTTTAGAGTAGGTAGTAATAGTATTAATACTATTAGCTGTCTCTGAGTAATAATTTATTGAAATCTGCACTAAGAAGTTCCTTAAAGAACTTCTAGACGTCTCTGAGAGCGATGGTAAGTGATTATAAAAAAAATACATTAAAAATCGATTTATAATTTACTCAAAATACATACACGATAGAATTTTTGAGAAAACATCCCGTAACAATTACAAATAGACAATACTTTGCAGCAAAATGTAAAAAAACTTATACACGATCAAAAAACCCGGACCGGTCCGTTGTTTGAAGTGCTTCCCTAAACATCATATATAAATATTACTTGTACATACTTACATGGTAGTAAGTAAGCATTTAATAGGTTCATTTGTTTCTCGTGGCGTCGATATTAAATAATACCAATAGCTACATTTACACGAGACATTCATTCACGAGCGATCACGAGGGCGTACTTTCTTAGTGCGTGAAATCCAGCGGGCGATTTTTGTGTTCACTCTTTCGCGCAAGTATTGTTTAGTTTCATGTCATTTAATTTTCGTTTGAAATTTGTGACCCGAAGTGAAGTATTATCCCTCAGATTTTATTTTCCAAAGACATGTTTAAGATATATACATTATCAATAACTCTACAATTTTGTCTTTGCTTCACAGTCAGATGTTTTTATTTTCCAAAGATACGTTCAAGATTTATAAATTATTATATCAATTACTCTACAATTGTCTTTGCTCCACAGTCAGATATTTTTATTTTTCAAAGACACGTTCAAGATTTAGAAATTATCAATAACTCTATAATTTTGTCTTTGCTCAACAGTCAGATGTTTTTATTTTTCAAAGACACGTTCAAGATTTGTAAATTATTATATCAATTACTATACAATTGTCTTTGCTCCACAGTCAGATATTTTATTTTTCAAAGACACGTTCAAGATTTATAAATTATTATATCAATTACTCTACAATTGTCTTTGCTCCACAGTCAGATATTTTATTTTTCAAAGACACGTTTAAGATTTATACATTATTTATAATTCTATAATTGTCTTTGCTCCACAGTCAGATGTTTTTATTTTTCAAAGACATGTTCAAGATTTATAAATTATCAATAACTCTATAATTGTCTTTGCTCCGTAGTCAGAGCTCCGCCATTTTGCAATGATAATTAATTATTACAAAAATACGGTAAAGCACGCACGTATGAAAACCGCGAGAACGCGCTCACTGTTTACGGTTTTTCTCGGTGCCTTTATCTACATTTACATGCCCATTATTTCCTGCGTGACAGTCGCTTTGCACGTGAAAGAGCGTCCGTGTAAATATAGCTATTGACAACATATATAGCAAACACAAGCATTCACGTAAGCTGCAGGACAGGAACACATAAGCTATTTACAATTGATTGCAGTTAACTACACAGTTGTCTAAGTTTCACCTATTGCAGCTCGATTTATTTTACTTTACAGGGTCTTGGATTCAATTCCCGATTGCGTCGATTTAGAAATAAAATTTTTATACTTCGTCTTAAGTTTGAATATCGCCAGATATTTTCTCGTAGGGCGATCATCGATTTGATTCGCTAATAAAATATTTTAGTATAATAAATATTAAGACGATGTTAATTATTAAATAGTGATTTCAAACATATATTAATTGACTGAGATTTAACGATTTTACTATAATAAGAGTTCTTTTAATTATAGACTTTATGCACTCTGAAATAAAGTTTTCGTTACCTCAGCCACTGTGTTTATTATCCAGCAGGAAAAGTACAACAAGAGGGTAATGGCGGTACGGGACGGCGGATGGTAAACGGAGGGTACTCACCGCTGTGCTGGAGGAGAACGTGTGCGAACGGTTGGCGAGCCCGTAGCCGGGCCGAGGAGCAGACCGCAGCGAGGATACCACTGCAACACGTGCGCGCTCTACACGGGCCTACACGGGGCTAGCTAGCGGGGGACCGGCCCGGTACTCACGTTACAGCCGGCCGCGGCCGGGTGGTGGTGGTGGTGGTGGTGGTGGTGGTGGTGGTGGCGGGGGGGCAGGGCGGCGGGCAGCGTGCTGGCCCTCATCCCGGGCCGCGCCTGCAGCACTACACACACCGCGCGCGCTAGTACCCGCCCCGTGCACTACGCCGCGCCGACTACGCTCACACCGCATACGCCCGCCGTACAACACACTATCCACACTAACGTTCTAGCCTTGAAGATGTGTCTACGACACAATTGAAAGGTCTACATCTAAATTTACAACTGTTTGTACTTTCATTTGTTGATAAAAGACGTGGTAAATATGTAACTTCATATAAAATTTAGAAAATATTCTAATTGTTTTTTTTTTCGAAATATTTTGAATACTGTCGGCCGCAGCTGGCTTTGCAGCTTGACCACACAATAGGTGGCAAGTGTAGATGGCCTTCAGAACTAACGGAAGGATTTTGGAGAGGCTGAAGGTCCAATAGTACCTGACATATACGACTTTAATCTGAGAGCACTCGCTAGAGGTTCGACCTCGGCTCGGGCCGTCGTAATTTAGACCCCGGTTTGAATTATACGATGGATAGATCGAAAGGGAGAATATTAAAATAAAGACTTTTGTATACACTTTACCAGACAAAAAATACTTATAAAATTATAAAAATTCGAGATAGGGTTGCAAGATCTATATAGACAATAGCGTAACTTTCAAGACCGAACATTATCTTCCGTACTATATTATGTGGATAGCGCGCTGAGCGACCGGTTAGTAGGGGCGTAGACGACGCGCAATACATGTATAATGAAGGGCACGTCACGGTCACTTCCCGTCCACCATGCATCGTGACGTGACGTATCTCAATTTCTCTCCTTCATTGTACATAACGACGGTCACATAGTTAACTTTATTCATACATACGACAACAATGTCGTCAAAGGGTAGTTATTGAATGATGAAGTTACTTTACTAATCAATGAAAATGAAACACTATAAATGTAATTTGTCACCAAAACCAAGAAACTGTTTTACATGGTTTTGGAATGAAATGAAAATGAAATCAAATTGTAATAAATGACCAACTATGTGACCGCGCCGTAAACATGCACATCGTATTAAACACAGTACGTCGCAGCAACACAAAATAAATATATAAATTTACATAACATACTTATATATATCTATATAAATAAAAATAAAATATTGACCATTTCCGTTACATAAAATTATGAAGCCCAACACTAAACGGTAGTCAGTATGTATACATATATACACGTATATATGTCATTTTAATGATCAGTTTGATAAATGTACAATATACAAATGTCATACTAGATTTCAAATTGAGTGTAACTAAAGATTGATCATCAACATTATATTGTTATTTTCCAAACGTACATTTAGAAACTGCAGTGGACCTAAAGTTGTACCTTGCGGTACTCTTCTGTTTATAAAGCAATATCGTCTTTATAATATATGTATCAAATTATTATTTGATCAATCTCCGTTCAAATGTGTATCTGATTCTATAAATACTGCATTCAGCCCTGACGACTATGTTACATTAGTTACAGATGCATGTTACTGTGTTAGTAACGAAGCGTGACATGAGAACATAATCGATAAACGCAGCAAACTAATTATAACGGCAGCAATAGTTTCTATATCTAATTTTGATGATCGGTCCAGTAACAAAATAATTTAACAAAATGATATCGTAGTTATTACATTCACATATAAGAAACGCAATAATAATAAGCTTTAAGCGTAAAAACGTTAACACTGAATGATTGGAAAGGACGCCGCCAACACAATAATAATCAAAAGTCAACGTTCTTAGGGTATTTATTTAAAAAATAGGAGAACGAAATTTTTGACAGTAATATGAAGTGGTACTTAAAAGACCAGAATGCTATATTTACTTTGAATTTCGATATTCGACGAACGAATATTAACTTTGGTATTGGGGAGAGTAAATCAAAAGAGATAACAAATGATTATGACATAGAAATCATAAAATTCATTAAAAAATCTTAAGAGCAAGAACAGGCAACAAACAATGGCAAGACCAAGAATTAATAGTAAATATTTGACTTAGCTAAAAATTACGGAACTGAAGGAAACGGGCGAGAACCCATTGAATAGGAATTAGTATTTGATTTGACTAAAAAGGCAAAATATAGGGAATTGATGCAAAACGGGCGAGAACCATTCAGATAAGGTTACATAACAAGAATTGTAAAGAAGTCTTTGTGAGTGAGGCCGATAATCAGCAGAACGGAACATTGTTGGGACACGAGCAGTTGAGTGTGTCGGCGTGCCCACACTCACACACACACAAGCGCAGAGTGCAAGCGTCTCACCTGTTGCGGCCGCCCGAGCCCTCCTCTCCCCCCTCACCCCACCCCACTGTCCCCTCGGTACCCCGGTCCCCCGCTAGCGTTTGTCGCTTACGAGCTCAGCGTTTCACACTATCATTTCGTTCGAGCCATAAATACCTCATTCTCAACCTAATTCTTTTTAATCAGATATTGTAATACACCTTGCAGACGTATAAAAGACATCGACAACCACGTGAGTTTGCCGCTTGAAAGACAGAGACGGAACTTTTTCTATCTCTGTCTAGTCAACGGTAAAAGGTACGTGCTTGAACGAGCCACTTGACTGTCCACGCGCTTCAATGATTACTCTATAATATTCAGAAATGATACTGCAATAGCGCTGAATGTTCGAAATTTAGAAAAATAACTGATATTTTATTATATATATATATATATGATTTGCGATGAAGGACGAAGCATAGATGTTACTATATATATAAATATATATATAATAGGATACGAGGTGTGTATGTTGTGCGCAAGCGAGCTACCACTCACCGTCCTCTGTGTAGTACGTGTGTACTGCAACACACGCAAATGTATACATCTACGCTCTGTCGCTCGTCACAAATGTAGCCGTGTCGGACGACACGACACGACACGACACTACACGGCTTCCACTAACCAATTAGTTTCTTATATTCAGCACAAGAATGGCATGCTGTATGTATATATATTATTTTATTATATCATTATGTAGTCTATAAATATTATTAAATGTAATGGTTAATGGAAGCTGTGATGTTAAGATAAATTTAACATTAGAATTTTATATCAAAATAACGTATCAAACTTTTTTTTATTGGGTTGTTTGGGCTATTATCATTTGCTATGACCTGTAACACAGCGACCTGTAGAGATCTGTCGTGCTCGCTCTTCAAAATTCGCAAGAATTGAAGGATATTCTTAGGAGCGATGGTTTTTATCTCCTCAGGATATAGTGTACACTTTCCAAAGGAGATATTTCTCCATTCAATACTTGTTTGACTACAATTTTAGAAAATTAATTAGTTAATTTATTTAATATTCTTAAGCATATTTTGCTTCCTTTTTTTTAAACATATGCATATGTACAAGTTTGATATGTTATTTAAGAATGGTAATAATTATTAATTTGCTGTTTTATTTACAACAAACGTGCCGATTAGTTTCAGTAGTAGAAGAATTAGTTTTTGAGTGTATAATAATAATAATAATTTTAATATTGCATCCAATATTTATATAGTATAGATTATACGTTCTTCATTTTGTTTTAGAATTCTTTAATATATTTCTGTTACATGCACAAATCGAATTGTGATATATTATTTAATACATTATTAAACTTATTTATTACTATAGAGCCACGTCGTTGTACAATTGCATCGCTCTTTTATGCTACAGAAAATATATTTTGTTTTGCAAAAACTTGCTCTCTTTCCAGTTACAGTCCATGAGTACGTAACTCGGCATTTTTTCATAGCTATGCAGTCCTAGTTTAAAATTGAAATTTTCTTATAGAAATTACAATATTGTTAATTTCAATTATTGTATTAAACTTAATTGTTAATATAGAGCCCGCAGTACAATTGCATCGCTCTTTTATGTTACACAAAGTAATTGTTTTATTTACGCGTTACAAAAACATAGTGAGTACGTACTCATGGACTGTAACTTGAAAGAGCTATGCAGTCGTAGTTCAAAATTGATATTTTCTTGAAAGAATTATAATATTGTTAATTTCAATTATTGTGTAAGGAGTGTGTTTATTTAAATAAATATGTACTGTGCAATGATATATGAAAGGGTAAAGTAATTTAATATACGGGAAGTACTATTAATTACTATGTAATTATGTACAGAGAAATTAATATATATTTTCTTTCATATATCATTAACAGGCAATAGTCACTACATATTTAATAGAATTAGGTGTTATTTTGCAGAAGTCCATTTCATTACTTGATGAATTTATTAGAATAAGAATAACATTCATTTTATAAAACTTAACTTAAGTAACATTGTAACTATGACTTTACATTAGGCTATGTCTGTATCGTGGAAAGCAAGTTTGACAGTTAACGTTACATTGGTACGGCGATCAGAGGGGGATCAAGGGGGGAAGGAGGGGGGGGGGGGTCTGTACTTTGCTTATTTTGGATGACATAGGGGTAGGGGAGTCTAGATGATGATTACGTCATCGGCAGTTATTTACTCTTTTACACGAATGGCAACCCTCACATTGTGTTTGCTAAAAAACAATACATTAATTGAAAAATGTTTACGTAAGCATGGAGGGAGGGGGCTAGAGCGTTGCTTACTTTTACTGACAAGGGCGAATGGGGGAAGGGGAAGGGGAAGGGGTGGTGAGGGAGGGGCTTACATAATACTTCGACGGCCCCTGACAGTCGGAATTTGATCGCCATTAGAGAAGGTCGTAACGGTAGTCAAGTTTCCACACCGAATATTTGTTTCACACATGATAATTGTAGCGGAATTAAACAATATAATATAAATACATCAAGTAATGGTCAGTTCTCGTTATGAGTGACGAGACATGTAGAATACTGAGTACCTAGGAAACAAATGTTGTAATCGGTGGCGATGTGGTGTATGGTAGGTGGTGATAATTACCGTGGTAGGAGGGCACCGCGTGGTGGTCGTAGTAGCCGGCGGCGGAGTGAGCGGCGCGGGGGTGGTCCATGGAGCGGGACGGGGACGCCCCCACCGGGGACGAGTACCGCAGCCGGTACTGCGGCTCGCGCGCCGCACTCGGCGTCCTACACACACACACACACTCAACGCCGGCCACGAGTACCGCAGCCGGTACTGCGGCTCGCGCGCCGCACTCGGCGTCCTACACACACACACACACACTCAACGCCGGCCACGAGTACCGCAGCCGGTACTGCGGCTCGCGCGCCGCACTCGGCGTCCTACACACACACACACACTCAACGCCGGCCACGAGTACCGCAGCCGGTACTGCGGCTCGCGCGCCGCACTCGGCGTCCTACACACACACACACACTCAACGCCGGCCACGAGTACCGCAGCCGGTACTGCGGCTCGCGCGCCGCACTCGGCGTCCTACACACACACACACACTCAACGCCGGCCACGAGTACCGCAGCCGGTACTGCGGCTCGCGCGCCGCACTCGGCGTCCTACACACACACACACACTCAACGCCGGCGACGAGCCACATAACACACACTCAACTCCCGGTCACAAACTTATGCCATAGTTATGATACTTGTATAATACAGCACGTGCGGCAACGCGCACCCTTAAGAAACCTTAATATACCCTTCTTGACAATCCCCATGCTGTAATCTCTCGCATATTTAAAATTTTATTACGGCATTTATTTACGGCACCTACATTTAAAATTTTATATATTTCTTTAAAAAACTTTCCGACTCTTAATAAATCTTAATATATCCTTCTTGAAAATATCCATGTTGTAATCTATCGAGAAAACCTCGGCAAGTAGTTCATTCTACAACCTAAGTGTACGCGGGAGGAAGTTCCTCTAAAACCGCACTGTCCGAGACCACTTCGGTTCCAGGGTGTGGAGAATTGTGTAAGTCTCTACCGCGCATCTGGCACTTTTAGATAAAACGCGCACTAAAACGGATAATAATACTACTAAACAACAATACATCTACTTTTTACTGTATTTCTTTTATCTATACATAGTTAACATAAGTGTTCACCTGCTCGCGTTCCTCGGATCCAAGTTCTGTTTCTTCCACTGCTGTAACTTTTCTCGTTCTTGTACATCTTTCAGTATCACCTGCAAAGTATACATTTTTTCTATTATAGCTAAAGAAATATATGTATTTCAAATAATAAGTAGAATCTAAAAGTTCAAAGGCCAGCTCGTGCTACTCGGGGAGCAGCTGTTGGTCGGCCGCGTGTATGTGACAGTGAGTGGTGGTGGTGGCGGTGTACCTGCGCGAGCCCGCTGTGCAGCTTGGCCAGCTCGTGCTGCTCGCGCCGCAGCTGTTGGTCGGCCGCGTGTATGTGACAGTGAGTGGTGGTGGTGGTGGTGGTGGTGGTGGTGGTGGCGGTGTACCTGCGCGAGCCCGCTGTGCAGCTTGGCCAGCTCGTGCTGCTCGCGCCGCAGCTGTTGGTCGGCCGCGTGTATGTGACAGTGAGTGGTGGTGGTGGTGGTGGTGGTGGTGGTGGTGGCGGTGTACCTGCGCGAGCCCGCTGTGCAGCTTGGCCAGCTCGTGCTGCTCGCGCCGCAGCTGTTGGTCGGCCGCGTGTATGTGACAGTGAGTGGTGGTGGTGGTGGTGGTGGTGGTGGCGGTGTACCTGCGCGAGCCCGCTGTGCAGCTTGGCCAGCTCGTGCTGCTCGCGCCGCAGCTGTTGGTCGGCCGCGTGTATGTGACAGTGAGTGGTGGTGGTGGTAGTGGTGGTGGTGGCGGTGTACCTGCGCGAGCCCGCTGTGCAGCTTGGCCAGCTCGTGCTGCTCGCGCCGCAGCTGTTGGTCGGCCGCGTGTATGTGACAGTGAGTGGTGGTGGTGGTGGTGGTGGTGGTGGTGGCGGTGTACCTGCGCGAGCCCGCTGTGCAGCTTGGCCAGCTCGTGCTGCTCGCGCCGCAGCTGTTGGTCGGCCGCGTGTATGTGACAGTGAGTGGTGGTGGTGGTGGTGGTGGTGGTGGTGGCGGTGTACCTGCGCGAGCCCGCTGTGCAGCTTGGCCAGCTCGTGCTGCTCGCGCCGCAGCTGTTGGTCGGCCGCGTGTATGTGACAGTGAGTGGTGGTGGTGGTGGTGGTGGTGGTGGTGGCGGTGTACCTGCGCGAGCCCGCTGTGCAGCTTGGCCAGCTCGTGCTGCTCGCGCCGCAGCTGTTGGTCGGCCGCGTGTATGTGACAGTGAGTGGTGGTGGTGGTGGTGGTGGTGGTGGTGGCGGTGTACCTGCGCGAGCCCGCTGTGCAGCTTGGCCAGCTCGTGCTGCTCGCGCCGCAGCTGTTGGTCGGCCGCGTGTCCGTTGGTCACGACCCCCGCGTCCGGCTCGTCGTCGCTCTCCACGCCCTTGTACGTGTCCGACCAGCGCCGCCGACGCTCTACACACAAACACACAGTCAATTCCTCTAAAGCGGAGTTTCACAATTAGTGGTACGCGTACCCCAAGGGGTACGTGAAGTTGCATCAAGGGGTATGTGGGGCTATCAGTAAAACAAACACACACACACACACATAAAACTTTCATATATATAATACTATCTGTGCCAGCGACTTCTTCCGCATGGAATATACAACGAATGAGGAATTTCCATTTCATCCCCTATTTTATTTTACCCCCTTAAGGATGATTTTTATACAAATTTTGAATATTTATTTTAATTTAGTCAACAATCTAAAAAATACATTTCAAGCTTCTAGATTTAAAAATGAAGATACTTCCATACAACTTTGCATCCCCTTTCAACCCGTTACAACCCTTTTTTCGTCTTACAAAGTAGCCTATGTCCTTTCTCAGGATCTGGACTATCTGTATAGTAAATTTCATTCGAGTCGGTTCAGTAGTTTTGTCGTGAAAGCGGGACAGACAGACATATTTTAATCATCTAATATACTTCATTAATCGATTCTACCATAAATTTCTTGTACAATACAAAGTCAACTCGTTTATTGGTAAAAATTTCGCTTCATTGTACAAAGTATCATCTCTCCTCTCATTCATCATCATTCATCATTTTTATAATACGATTCGATATCTATACATATAAATAAAGTTGGAGTGTCTGTTTGTGATATAGAAATAACCGTTTTTTACTACATGCATATGAATATAAATACGCCACATACACCTAAAGATAACATTTTTTAACAATTTTGTCTGTCTGTCGGTTTGTTCCTGCTAATCTCTGAAATGACTGGACGGATTTCGACGGGACTTTTATTGGCAGGTAGCTGATGTAATAAGGAGTAAGTTAGGCTATTTTTATTTTAGAAAAGTAAAATAATCTTGGAAAATTGCTAGTATAATAATAAAAATCATGACTACTAATTTACTGTATCACCTGTGTTGTACTACATCCTAAGTAACTTCACTGGTGAGGTTTACCTGGGTCTGTGTAGGGGTAGGGCGGCGCGGGGAAGTCGTCGCGCTCGATCTTGGGTTTGGTGCCCGGCGGTGGCTTGTATGCGGCCGGGTAGTGCGACAGCTCGATCGGCTCCTGCGGTGGTAGGTCAATATTTATATTATTTACAGGTTTAATTATAAAGATATATGAAACAAAGAAGCTGGTTTTAGAAGTACTCAAGAGGCGTGTACGTGTTTTAAGATTTTAATATACATATAATGTGTTATGTATTTTTCAAACACCTTTTTTATGTGAAATAATATACTTAATTGTGTTGCTCTGAAAAGAGATTATATTTATTACAAACAATTGTCTTATCAAGTATAACAGCGCATTACAAATAGTATCAATTTTAAATAACTCACCTGAAAAGAGAAACAACATTTAACGCTATTACTTCACAAAATTATCAACTCAAATTATAAACAATTATACACGTATTATTCAGCAAAAAAACTGTTAGAAACATCTAGAAACTTCCTCGACAAATGACGTACGTCATTCTGACGTTTAAATTTAATTCACCTACAAATGCGCGCCAAATTCAAATAATGAATGTCAATGACTTTCATTTACATACATATTAAAAATTAAATGAGAAGTTATAATAGTAATAATATAGTAATATGTGTTGCATATAATATTTTCGTTAGGTATTAAGTTTTTAGCACGTTCTTGTGATGAGATAGCTTTCCGAAAGAGCGGTAGATAAAAAAAAATTGTTACGACTATTCAAAAGTGTTTAAATTAAGTTTATTTGAATAAATGATTTTCTATTCTATACTATTTTTTTTTATTAAAATAATATATATGTAATAGTAACTCTGGACAATTTGCACAGGATTATTTAGTTTTTGGGTAAGCAATGTTTGTGTTGTAGGTATAAGATGTTTGATGCAAATATTTTATTGTAAATCATTACATAGTATAAAATAAAGTCGCTGTCGCTGTCTGTCTGTCTCTATGTATGCTTAAATTTTTAAAATTACGCAACGGATTTTGAAGCGGTTTTTTTAATAGATAGAACGATTCAAGAGGAAGGTTTATATTATATGTATAATATATGTACACCCGGGTGAAGCCGGGGCGAGTAGCTAGTATTATATATATAATAGCATAGAAAATATCGATATTGTACAAATATATTATGTATCGTAAGGGGCGCTTGCGTCCGAGTGACACATATGGCGGTGATCGAACAATTGAATATATTGTATTCTATTCGATACAAAACGCGTATTAAACATTTAGACCTGGGCTATGGTTCTGGGTATTTTATTTATTAAATAAATGCATCTGTGTACTTGTATAGACGTTTAGAACTTGTAACACCGGTTTACGGTCAGTTCGGGAGTGGGATGTCGTCGGGTTATCGTAGCGGCGTGCGCGCGTACCTCGTTGTTCATGTGGGGCGACTTGGGGCGCGGCGTCTCCCCGCGGATGGAGTCGACGAGCGCGCGCATGGCGGGCCGCGAGGAGGCGCGGGAGGCGGGGCGGGACGCGGGGCGCGAGGCGGGGCCCGAGCTGGCGGCCGACGGCGGCCGGTGGAAGTGCGGCGACGCGGGCGCGCGGTCCCCGGCCTGCAGCGGCCGCCGCAGCCGGCCCGGCTCGGCCGCCAGGTACGAGTACGTGGTGATGCGGTGCGGGCTGCCCCCGCCGGCCCCGCCCCCTCCGCGGTCCTCGCGCAGCACCAGCCCGGGCGACGCCGCGCGCCACCACTGCCCCGACTGCGCACACTGCACTCTAACGCCGCCGACTGCGGCCGTCCTCACGGTCTCACCGCACGACCGCAGCCGACACTCCAAACCAAAACACAGACCTAACTCCCGCCCGACCGATACGACTTCGGTCAAAAGAGAAGAAAGCTCTCTTCGGCTAAGAGTTCGATCTTCCACTCGAATCATAGTGATTTCGATTCCCATTTAAATTCGACGAAGGATCAGATTAAAACAACTATTCCCAATGATCACATAAATTATTGTGACTTTAATAAACATATGACACGGCCGAAGGCCAACTCATACCTAACAAATACAATACCAGTCTGATGGCCCCACTTAATTTTCAAACTTTGACTCTATCCCCGTTTAAATTGGACAAAATATAGATCACATCAAATTAAGACTGTCAAGACGGTCAAATAAACTACTATTAAATTATTATATTAAAAAATAACTCATATTAAACTTTAAATAAACTTCATATTAACAAAACTAATCTACTGCATTTAGACTACTGTAACTTGCAAAAAAAAAACTATAATTATACATCCAAGATTTATCAATCAGAAAATTAACAAAAATATTTAATATACATCAAAAACATATTGAACAATAATAAACTGTATCAGATCACAAAATACTTTGCGATCGACAAGTTCAACAAAAGATAACGTCATTATATCAACACATCAACATGCCAGCCACGCGTGTCAAAACCTAAATACAACATACCACAAGTAATAATAATAGGAGAAAATATATAAAATTAAATAAAAAAAGAAACATGTAAATGTGTCAACATAAATAATAAAAAAGTGCCCTTGAACGTGCTGTGAAAATTTTATGAGATTATTGAATTAAAGATTTATATATCTTTAATTCAATAATCTGATGATTGAATAATCGGATATCAACTGATAGAAATACCTAAATACATTTTTATTTTGTAATACATACATATATGTAATAAAAACATCCAGACAATTACAAACAACCATACTCATGAATACAAAAGTTTGTACCGTGCGAGGAATCGAATCCCCGACGATTGGAACCAAGGCATTAGCATACCAAGCCGCTAGACCACTAAGAGCTGTCGTTAACTTAATAAATAACAAAACTATATTAAACAAAAATTACAATGCTACATTTCCCATTATCTACATTTAGCCCAATTCCCTTACAAATAGAAAAACAGAAGAGTTTATTCAATTGAAAGTCAAACATTTATTAAGTTTACAAGATAGATGGAGAGCAGCGTTCAAGTGCACGTGAACTTAATAAAACAAAAAAAAAAGTGCGGACCTTCCTGGTGAGGCTACTGTAGGGGCTGCCGTAGGAGCCGTTGACGCTGGGCGTGCGCGACCGCAGCGAGAACTGTCGGAGTCACACGCGACACGTTACTACAACGCTACTACTACTACTACTACTACTACTACTACGCACTCAGGCACGCAAGCGCGCACGCACTCACGCACGCACACACGTACGCAAGTGCACAAGCACTTATGCACGCACGCACACACACTCACGCTCGTACGCACGTACGCACGCACGCACGCATACACTGTTCGCCGGCTCCGTCACCACAACTCCGTTTCGGAGTTTTGACAAAAGAACCAACGCCAGTACACCACGCACTTTACACAAAGTACATTTCTATTACCAAAGTCTATACGCGGAAAAGTCGATATACATAATATACAGGATGTCCCAGAACTCAACGTCAATCCGAAACGGATTGATTATAACAATCATGAGAAAAATCAGTAAAAAAATCTATCCCATGTAGATTTAAAATTATGGGCACTTAAGAAAAATTCTGTAACTATTCTTCGGTTACAGCAGTTAAGGCTACAATAAAAGTTCTAGGACAACCTGTATATAACTAATGCATGGTTAGAGAATTGTCTGAAATTATATTACAACCTCACGTTTGAACTTTTGTGTCAATTATTTAAACTGAAATGTACTTCGTGTAAGTTAGCAGATAGCTAGGGCTTGTATGTGTCAGTTTAATTATTTGTAAAAGCATTTTAAATTAATAACTGAGTATTAAAAGAAATAAAATGAAAATATATAGATAACTTAATAATTATAGTGGTCTAACTAACACAAACATGCGTAAATTTGTAATTAATACTACACACTGAAACTGTTCCGTATTTACTGCTCGGACAATGAGAACAGTTTCAGTACGGGGAAGTGACAACAATGCGTTAAACTTTATTTAAATATATCAAATTTGCTGTGAGAATATTTGTAGTTATAATGAACTACAAATATTCTAAACAACGTATAACGATGCGCTAAACTTTATTTAAATATTTGTTGTGAGAATATCTGTAGTTCATTATATAACGATGGCACTAGTGAGACATTGTTCATATACCTGTCGATAAAGCAACTTGGTCAATTTGATAACAACAAAAAAAATTATTATAAAGGTGTAAAAAATCTCTCAATTAGTGTCATCTGATTACCAATAAACTACAGGTTAATAACTAACACATTGTAGTCATATTAACTGCAAATAAAAGGGTGGATAAAAATAAAAAAATGCAAAACATACTGAATATGTGCAATGATAATAAAACCAATTTATTATACCGTTACAGCCTATTGGTTACATTATCATTGGAGTACAGTATAGCTATTTCTAACACTAATAAATATTTTCATTTTTTTAGTGCTTAGTAAGTTTATTTGAATAAATGATTTTCTATTCTATTCTATTATTTATTTATTTATTTTAGGAAGATTAACGGCGTAATTTACATGTTACTAATCATGTTTCTTCGCCGATAGTATTATTAGATTAATAAATAAATAAATAAATAATCTCAGAACAATTCATATCATTGTTGACAACACATATATTACTACTAAACTAAAAGGATGCAAGAAGAACTATTCTCGAAAGCTTTCTCAAAGTAAAAATTCTAAACACCACTAAAACTGAACAAGGTTCACTCATACCCGTGCCGAATTTGCCTAAGGAGTGGAACTAGGTGGATTTTGCAGAAAGACAGGCGAAATCGTTGAAATAATTTCATTTACTTATGAAATTTGTCCAGTTCCTTGTTTGTGTACCAGCATATTCAGCACGGATGTGTATTTATTCATAATATAAAGCATACAAAAATATATTTAGAAGAATAAATAAATTAGATTCACCAAAAACTATCTAATGTAGTTTACCTCCTAGAAAGTACATACTAAAGTATCGTAAAATGTAAAATCAATGGAGTGTGGAGAGAGATGGCGGGATGTACCTGCAGCTCGGAGGAGGCGCGGTCGAGCGGGTCGTGGGGCGCGGGCCCGCAGCGCGGGTGCCAGATGGCGGCGCCCTGCAGGAACATCTCCTCGCCGTCGCCGAACGGGTCCCCGCACTTGCTGCAGCGCGCGCACGTCGGGTGGAAGTGGTGGTTGTCGCCCGCCTGCGCACACAAACACGCAATTAACATTACTGGCACCACACTTATAACAGACGCTGGTAGTACGCGCAGCGCACGCCGTACAGCCGCCGGTAGTCGTCCGCAGTACGCACCTGCAGCACCTTCCCGGAGATGTACCGCTGGCAGTACGCACAACGCACGCCGTACAGCCGCTGGTAGTCGCGCTCGCAGTACGGCACGCCGTCGCGCCCCATGTACTCGCCCTGCAGCACGGCGCTGCACTCGCCGCATGCGAAGCAGCTCGTGTGCCATTGTCTGCGGACACCACACACGACTCCACATTACCAGCCTACATCGCATTTGGGGTAGATCCTCGTCAGAGGCCAAAACTGGGCAGGACGACGCCATACTTAGATAAAATTTCCATAAGATTGCTTTGAAGATTTCCTGTGATGTAATGCGTAGGAATGAAGATCATATCGGAAGGAAGGTGTAATATATAAAACTAACCAGTAGTTATAAGGACAGAGGAAGACCGAAAAAGAGGTGGACTGTGGTCCATCCACCTCTTGTTCGGTCTTCACACATGAAAGATATGGTAAGAAAGGGAATAAATAACAAGAAGACTGCAAACAGGGATGAATGGAAGAGAAAAACATATTACGCCGACCACAAATAAATGCGATAAGATGATGATGCTTTGAAGATTTCCTAATGTTGAGAAGCTTCGATCGAAATCATGTTATAGATGAATTTGAAAAAGAAAGAATATCCTTCTAAAATATTTTGAGAAAGTTTATCTTATCACTTAATAATTTTGTATTATCTTATTTAATTTCGCTACTATTAGCGTTTGTAAGTCCACAAACATTCAGTGCGGAAATCTGACTACCGCTACCGGAAGCATTAAGACCTTTTCCACTATTTTCATACTCCAACCGTTATCACATCTACACCCATATTAAGACACGTATTTCACATCTAAACGTGGCATTATATGACTTTAATAGTTTGGAGTACTGGTGTTGACTGTTCGGCGACCTACTTACGGGAATATTCGAAGGAATCTTGGATAAAACTGCTAACAATCTATATTGGAAGTTTAAGGTCTAAAGTCAAGAGCAAGAGTAAGACTAAAGTCAGAATTCTGTTTCTCTGTTAAACCCTTAAAAGACGTATCAAAAATTTACAGAGCTTCCAATACAGACCAGTATCTAGTCTAGACAACAGCGACATGTCACTTACCTATCCAAAGCGATCAGCGCCTGTCCTTCAGACAACTCCTGTCCACAGCCCGCACATTCTGTAAATACAAATGTTCATTATGTAGACCTCTAGTTTAACTCATCATCATCAACTCAGCTCGGAAGACGTTCACTGCTGAATGGGCTCCCCCAAAGATCTCGACGACGGTCGGTCGGTGATCGGTCCTGCACTGTTCGCATCCAACGCCTTTCAGCGATCTTGACCAGATCGTCGGTCCACCTTGCTCGGAGACCTTCCCCCCTAGTTTAACTATGCTATGTTAATATGGTTTATTGAAGTTTATTGAGGCGAACGTCAATGTAAGCAAACTAAGCGGCAACCAGATGAATCATCGGGACTATACCACAAACATCACGTCATCACGCGTCTGCGGTACACCTCCTCAAAGGATCATACCTCCGTATAAAGAAAGTGTTTTTTTTTTATGGATGATAATAGAATGGTGCACCCGCCTGTGCTAACGGTCTACGCTGGCGGGGGAAAGTGGTTCGGTGGGCCGACGTCGAGAGGAAGTAGTGTAGTCTCACCGTTCTGGTCTGGCGGGCGCGCGTCGTGGGCGGCGTGGTTGGAGCGTGCGGCGGGAGCGGGGGCGGCGCGGGGCTGCGGCTGCGGGTCGGGCGTGGGCGCGGGCGAGGCTTGCGGCTCTCGCGCCGCACGCGCCGTCTGCCGCTGCGGCGCAGCCACGCACCGCGAGCACACCACCTCCGCGCCCGTGTACGTCACCTTCTCGCCCGACGGGAACGCGCGTCTGCAACCACACGTCACTCGCTATTATTCGGACGCCGGTCATCATTCACAGAGGATCGGGGAAAGATCTCTCCGGTCATCATTAACAGAGGATCGGGGAGAGCTCTCTCCGGTCATCATTAACAGAGGATCGGAGAAAGCTCTCTCCGGTCATCATTAACAGAGGATCGGGGAAAGCTCTCTCCGGTCATCATTAACAGAGGATCGGAGAAAGCTCTCTCCGGTCATCATTAACAGAGGATCGGAGAAAGCTCTCTCCGGTCATCATTAACAGAGGATCGGAGAAAGCTCTCTCCGGTCATCATTAACAGAGGATCGGAGAAAGCTGTCACAGGTCATCATTCATAGAGGATTGGGGAAAGCTCTCTCCGGTCATCATTCACAGAGGATCTGCGAAAGCTTTCTCACGGCTTGATATTACAAATATTATTGCAATTTACTAACTGCCTTTACACGGCACGTTCATTCCCGTGCGGTCAGGAGCAAGTACGATTTACCGCGTGAAATCCAGCGCACACATATATGAAAAATCGTACACCTACAGTTAGGTGTATATACAACCTCCTTAAGGATTATGATTTTAATATATAGTTTTAATGTCAAATAACGACTGATTGACAATATTGTAAAGAAATTATAAAAAGGCATTACAATTCTGCAAACGTATATATTATTTATTATTTAATATGTCATCTCAACACAAAAAGAACCCGACCTAAACACCTACACATAACCATGTGTTACTGCCGTTTAAGCGTCATTAAATAATAAATACAAACATACACACCTACAACTCTACTGAAAGAACATTAAGATTCGACATCATGATTCAGGCGGACTACCTGCCATCTGTAATAATGTGATGGTGGTATACTGACTTGCATCTGGCGCAGGTGAAACATTTCTGGTGATAGGTGTTCCCCAGGGCGGAGACAACCTCGCCTTCCACGTACTGGTTGCAGGCGGCGCATCTCGTGCCGAACGCGCGCTGGTAATCCTGAACAACACACCAAAATTCAAAATATCTTTATTCGTGTAGGTCTATTACAGATTCTTATGATATGACAAATCTACCGTCAGTTCGGGATGATTTCGAGATGAGAAGAACTGACAAGAAACTCAGCTCGTATTTTTTTCAAATAAATGTTGTACATGTTTACAATAATACAGATTCGTTTAAATTGAAATTTGGGAGAATAGAGTGACCACCAGCATGTGGTATTGCAAAAAACAAAAAAACTATTATTATTATACATAGAAAACACCCAGACCGATACAAACAATCATACTCATGAATACAAAAGTTTGTGCCGTGCGAGGAATCGAACCCGCGACCATCGGTCGGAAAGCGGTGTGCCAGACCGCTAGACCGCTAGACCACCGAGGTTTTCAATCAGGTCGATAATATTCTATAATTGTATTAGAAAATTATCAAATCCTGCTTTCATTGTGAGACTTTGTGTTAAAGAGTTCTCAAAACAAACTACACGTATCTCATTTGTGGAGAGTAGATGCAGTAAGCAGACGAGACTTTAATCGTCGTCGTAGATAGATGTGATCTTATCAGCATCAAACCTCTAAAGATAATCACAGCCTCATTGGTTTAGCACAACGCTATAGATTTGATGGTCGCGGGTTCGATTCCTCGCACGGTGTAAATATTTGTATTAATAACATCAGTATTATTTTATCGGTCTGGGTGTTTTCTATGTAATATATATATATATGTATTTGTATCAGTTGTCTAGTACCTATAATACAAGCTCTGCTTAGCATATGATTAGATGGCGCTGTAAGAGTTATCCCGTTTAAAAAAAATATTTAAACATTGACAAAATAAAATCTTTATGTATATAGAAATTACGTGTAACGTTGTTTGTCCACGATGGACCTTAAACTACTGAACCGATTGCAAATTTGATTTGCATATTGTGTGCAATTTGATCCAACTTGATAGATAGGAAGCTTACATCTCAATTTACAGTCGCAATATTATTTTATTCAAGAACCTTAGACACAGCAACGCGTGGCCACTGCTGGTGAGATATAAATTTAATATAGTACCGGCCATATGTAATTAAATACACCACAACAATTATCGTCACCGCATCAGAATCTTTGAAAACAACGCATAACGTATATACACATATAACGTATGTAGAGACAATACAAACGAATTCAATACCTTGTTATTATGACATCAGTTGACAATAACATAGCATCAGTCAGCAGGTGTATGTACAGACATGTTTGCAAACAGTGGTACATCAAATTGCATGACAAACCAAATAACTCCGAGTGGCATTTCTGAGAGAAAACATCGCATATGGTCATAATATATCACAATGGCATACCATCCACTAATTTAAATTCCAAAATCATTTATTCATGTAGGACATTTTAGCGGCTTAGGAACGTCTAATTTTTTATATTATAATTTTTTCCATACCGTTCAATTCAGTATATGGATCCAATTGAGAAGAACTGGCAAGAAACTCAAATGAATAACTTATTTTTACTTTTCAATTGCCAGTTTGTTTACAATGTATATTTATATAGATATCAATGTCTAACATTAAATGAAAATTCAGTGCATGAACAACTATTGCCATGCACGCTCGTCATTCAAGTAATCGTTTAGTGAGTGATAAGCTTTGCTCAGTGAATACGATTTAACAGATGTTTTGAATTTATTTAAGGGTAATTCCAATATATCCTTTGGTATCTTATTGTACATTTTTATATCTATTCCCATAAAAGACCTATTGACTTTTTCTAAACGATACTTGGGGACAGCAAATTTGTCTAATAATCTAGTATTAATATTATGCTAACGTGTTCATTGAGAACAACAAAAAAACATGGCTGCTGCAGTGCTCCAGTAGGTTAGTATTACTTACTAACTGAATGGTAGAGGCACCTGTTACAACTCAAGTGGTAACCACCACGCAGTTACAACAATCTCGAGTGGCTACGATAAGTGGATTGCTAAACTAAATGTTGATTCATCAACGTCAGTCAGTTGCTCTCTGCATTACAGTAGAATAGAGTATAATAATAATAATAATAATAATCTCAGGACAATTCACACAGCGCCATCTAGACCCAAAGTTAAACTAACTAAAGCTTGTGTTATGGGTACTAGATAACTGGTACATATACATAAATCATTTTTTTCGTAAATACATACATAATATGAAATTGAAAAACACCCAGACCGATACAAACAATCATACTCATGAATACAAATGTTTGTGCCGTGCGAGGAATCGAACCTGCGACTCTCGCGAATATACTCAGCAAAATGTGGACATGTTTTAATACAAGTGTTGCGTTAATAATCAACACTACCGTCAAATAAAAATCTATATAAATGCGCCAGTAATTAAATAGTCATCATGAAGTTGCATTAGTTATTTCAATATATGAATATATAGCATTTAATACCAAGAGTACCGGGGTTGACACTCCCAGTTAGTTTAATCAATATCACAGGTTATTGATTATCCTATCGAGGAGGCAACTTAGAGTACATTCAGCTATTTTCCTATCACTTTTAAGTTTTTAAACCATTTATCTATACTACAACTACGACTACAGACATCTTTTTGTTTAAATAAATATTGTTACGGGGTAATAATACTATGTTGTTTGTTGAGACGATATATATATATATAATAAATTTTATAGTATTATCTGCCGCTTCTTTTGTAGCGACGTCCATTTGGTCTATCTTTTTTTTTTTTAGACAATGTATATTACAGATGATAATAGACTGACAATATGTACATAAAAATATTGATCTTATATACTAAATAACAATAGGAAAATGTAAGGTGGGGTGACACAGTTTAGATACAGCAGTGCTTAGTACACAACATTGAGTTTGTCCTACTAGACATTATTAAATGCAATTATTATTTTAATGTATCTAGGTGACTGTGTCCCATAAATTTCATTTCATTTCATAATTGTGTGGGATTATCGTGTAAAGCTTGTACTACTACTAAACCAATCGAATAAATATATCTTCTAGTTTCATCGTTCAGAGATACAGGCCTCGTGCCTAGTTCAGTTCCCAGGCTCATACAATCACAACATATTGTTTATATAAAAAAAAAAAAAATGAATTTATACCTATACATGATTGTGGCTTAATAAAATTTATTATTAATTTATCGTTCGTTAACGATAATAATGTTTTTATAGAAAAACTTAAAGTCCATAGCACTGACAATATTATCTGATTACACTAATAATGAGTGCGTAGCGATTTCTATGTTGATTATCGCATGCCTCTTACTTGTTATACTGTAATTATTTATATAAAAAAAACATCTATTTAAAAGAGCAACACACAGTTTCTTGCTCATTCTCCTTGTGATGAATCTGCATTCCGAATGAGTGGTAGAATCAAAATATGACTATACAAAAGTGCTTGTAATGAGTTTATTTGAATAAAGATTATTTCTATTTCTATTTCATCAGATCTTCTAGTCTCAACTAATCTAAATTTCATAATAACGGTACACAGGAGCCAACAAATATTTGTCACTTGTCATATCTGTATAATGACATCAGAAATCCTCACCGACGAAGCACTAGGCATAGATGCGAATCTGTTCTAATGGATGGCGATAAACACCACACTGCAAACATCATGTATGTAGATCTAACAAGTTTCTAAAACTAAACAACATATATAACTACTTCATATAACGTACTTGAATGTAATGAAAATCGTCTTAAAATTGTACTAGTGGAGCGCCATTCCATAAAGCCATCAAATTAAATAACAATATATTAAATTGGTTTCATTTTATATAAAAAAAATATCCTATTCCAGAATAGCTGCCGCCGTGGAAGGTCAGGGTCTGTAACTTATCAATTCTTTATAATTACCCCACTGACCAGTGTACTTACGTGAGGAATTGCTTATGAAATCCGCGGAATCTTATCAAAGGCGGAAGGCGGAAGATCGCTCATATTGGAAGTCTTTGGGAAAGGCCTATATCCAACATTGGATAGACACTGGCTGAAATGATGATATCAAATAGAAATAATCTTTATTCATAAAAACACTTAATATAAGCACTTTTGAATATACGCATATTTTTTATTTTACCGCTCATTCGGAATGCAGACTTATCACAAGAAGAATGAGCAAGAAATTGCTCTAAATCCGCGGGAAGTCTTACAGAGAGGCTTGAAGGCGAACATCATCCTCGTACAAGGGTATGGTGTATGTTGGACGGCGAGTGGTGCGTACCTGTGGGCAGTAGTAGTGTCCGTCCTTGCAGAAGAAGCCGCCCCTGGCGAGCGAGGCGGTGCAGGTGCGGCACGTGAAGCACGCCGTGTGGAAGTACTTGTCGGACACGCGCAACACCTCGCCGCTGCACTTGCCGCCGCACGCGCCGCACACCACTTTGCCTGCACACACAGACACACAAACATATTAGTACACATTCATTATTATCTACAATCTACCTATGTACAGACGACCTTCGTAATATTTTTTTAATGGATAATGAAATGATGTACCCGCTTCGCTAACGGTTTACGCTGGAGGGGCACCAGTGGAGGATGATAGGATGCAATGTGCCATGTAGCCAATGGATCATTAGTCCACATTACTAACAATCGCTTTCCCCCATACTTCTCAGTATCCTATGAATTCACAGTGCAAGTCCCGGGTCTATCGTGTGGCACAGAGAGAAACTCCGACCAGTTCCCGGAACATGACAGTGTCAGTTTAAGGGGCGTCTTTGCTGAAATATGTCACACCTTCAACGCTAGTGTTTCTTTCGCTGCCTAGCCAATTCTGGTAAGAGCCTGCTAGTGCAGCTTTGGATACACATCTTAATATAGAACTCACTGCAGTTCTAGACAGACCAAAATTAATTATTGATTTTATTGCATAGTCTTTAGGTATATTTGTGTCCCAGAGTACAGTGAGCTCTACCAATATTACACGTTTAGTTTTTTTGGAATATAGAAAAATATCTGGTCGGGATGATGAAAGTCCTACGCCGTCTACCACTTTCTGTCTTCTCTCCTCTACTCAAAGATAGATAGATAGATAAATTCTTTATTCAAAATTTCAGACACATAAGATACATGAGATACAGAAAAAACATGAATTAATAAAAGAAATTTAATTGGATTGGAATTAACCAAATTTCTCCCGACTTTCTCCAAGTTTCCCCCATTCTTTAGCCTTAATCGGAATTTTAAATGTAGTTTTGGACAACGTTAGGTTGGGAAATTAACCAAATTTTTCCCGATTTTCTCCAAGTTTCCCCCATTTTTTTAGCCTTAATCGGCATTTTAAATGTAGTTGATGTGGATTGCAAATTAGATAAAAACTTGTGAATAATAGCTATTCATTAATACTATTTCTCTTCTATTCCAGATTTCTAAATCCTCACTTGTGTATTTCCTCAGACTCTGATTACGCAACAGATAGATTGAAATAAAATTGAGCTTCTGTAGCCACTTTGCTAGCAAATTTATATCTTGATTCGCTGTCGGCGAGTGGTTAGAATCGTAACCGATGCAATATTTCAATTCCATTATAAATAGTCTGTGTAAATATTATCAGTTATTTGGCAGACGATCGACGTGCCAGCAACACGGATGTGCATTGCAATTTTCAATTCACCTTTTTACTTTTTTCTGTAAACTATCTGACTGGTAAATAATGAATCTTATATATAAAATTCTCGTGTCACAATGTTAGTTACCATACTCCTTCGAAACGGCTTGATCGATTTTTATAAAATTTTATATGCATATTCAGTAGGTCTGATAATCGGTTACTATCTATTTTTCATACCCCATTCAGTGATTTTTTTTATAATTTGACATTAAAAAGTACTTACAAAGCAAAATTTTCATCCTTCTATTACCAACCCTTATTTTTAATAGCGATTTTAATTTATATGGCAAAACAACGTTTGCGGGGTCAGCTAGCATACTTATAAAAAGCTGAAATATATGTTTGTTAACTAAATCGTATGTAACCTATATAAAATATTCTCATCTGAAATTGTATGTGTATTAAATTTTCAACTCAAAAAAAAAAATTTTTAGACAATAAAGATTATGATTATGATATGATTATGATATGAACTATTCTGACCATTACTTAGTTGTGAAGCTACATAAATAGATTTATTAAAATAATTAAAATTCAAATCAAAATATCTTTATTCACGTAGGTATATTACAGACTCTTATGATATGTCAAATCTACCGTCAGTTCGGAATGATTACGAGATGAGAAGAACTGACAAGAAACTCAGCTCGTATTCTTTTCAAATAAATGTTGTACATGTTTACAATAATACAGATTCATTTTTAAATTCTAATTTGGGAGAAGTGACCACCAGCATATGTTATTGCTAAAGCAAATAGTCTAATCAGTGTTCTTAACTTGACCAGACCAATCGTCACAAGCAGCACTCGGTTACGAGATATAATTTAACATCGCAGCTATGACGACCTCATATAATGGTGTGCACTGTACAGTCTCTAACAATTCCCCATCTCTGCCTACGTGCTAGTGTGGGGAGTAATAAAAAACACATGTAATAAATTCCGATTAATCGGCGAGGTCAATTGGGCCCGCACCGCAGTCGTCGGCTCCCGGGTGCGGCCGGTGGCACACTCGTCTCCCACGTATGCACAGGTCATGCACTTATAAATTAGATCAGCCGTGGGTACACCGCATATGGGCATGGTATGCCGGTATATGGCCGATTAGAATTACAAGGTGTGGTCAAAAATAACATATTACTTATACGACAGTTTTTTTTTTATACTACTATAGTGGCAAACAGGCATACGGCCCATCTGATGGTAAATGGATGCCTCAAACACCAGGGGTATCACGTGCGCGTTGCCGACCCTTAAGAAACCTTAATATACACTTCTTGAAAAACCCCATGCTGTAGTCTCGTGAGAAAACCTCGGCAGAAATTTCATTCCACAACCTAAGTGTACGCGGGAGGAATCTCCTCTGAAACTGCACTGTCCGAGACCACTTAGGTTCCAGTGTGTAGGAATGAATTCCCTGTCGATGGCGAGCGGTGCGGTGGTAAAAATGTGGCCGTAGGCATCATGTCGAACAATTCCTCAGAATACAGTGCGTTGTATAATCATATTATACAACGGACTGTCTTCAATCTAAACTGTGTTAATTATACACATTATAGAACAAAGTCACCATAGCTGTCTGTTCGCTTATATCTTTTAAAATACGCAACTGATTTTAATGCAGTTTTCAGCAATAGATAGAGTGATTCAAGGAGAAGTTTTATATGTATAATACTTGCCTATTATAGTATAGACCAAGCTGAGAAACTCAAATATTAGTAATCCATGACGTCGGGTCGCTAGTTAACAATAAACTGAAAAGCAAAACGAATTTTGACGTCAAACTACCTCTAATACATCAATTAAAATCAATAGTATTTTGTAATTAAAAAACAAAGATTCACGCTACGCAATCAATACTGTAAGGGAGTCGCTAGTTAACAATAAACTGAAAAGCAAAACGAATTTTGACGTCAAACTACCTCTAATACATCAATTAAAATCAATAGTATTTTGTAATTGAAAACAAAGATTCACGCTACGCAATCAATACTGTAAGGGAGTCGCTAGTTAACAATAAACTGAAAAGCAAAACGAATTTAGACATAAAACTATCTCTAATACATCAATTGAAATAACAGATGATATTTCGTAATTGAAAACAAAGATTCCCGCAATCAATACTCTAAGGGATTTCAACTTGCAAACAAAGATTCTCGCAATCAATCCTCTAAAGGATTTCAAGCTGCAATGTAATTAACAAGGTACAATTGCACGCGAGGACATGAGTGCGCGTTGTAAGTCCTGAGGGGGGAAATGCGACGAACTCTGGCTGTTAACTCAATCGACCCCACCCGACCTGGGGGCACAACCTGAGGTATCCGATGTCAATATCAATTACCTTGATTAAGTTAATGACTGCCGTAAACTGTTGTACTTATTAGGTACTAGGTGCCCCGCAGAACTAAAAACTCAAGAAAACCTTATTATAGTCTCTTTGCTAACTTCCTCATCACCCATATAAAGTTTCTTCAGCTCTAATGCTATTCGTTTCTTTTCTTCAACTGTAGGGAATGCCAAATCTATTGGGGTCGCTTGTAGGAAATCTAAATTTGAGTCAAACACAAATATTTGCGACTATGACTTTCGGAAGTAATGCGATGTGCTCAACCGCTAGACCACCGAGGTCGTCAGTGAAAATAATTCTGTTACAGCACCGTATAAGGGTCCAAAACCGCTCAAGTGAGACAATCGATACGTGTGATGTCAGCGCTCTCCTTTTAAGTGCATTGGACGGGTGCAGCCCATGTGGGCAGGTGGTGGCGACGGCAACAGTGGGCTGTGCAGCTTACTAAGTTATTCTAAGACCTTCCTAAGAGACATAATAAATAACCCTGGACAATTAACACAGCGCCATGAAGTGGGCCAAAGCCTCAGACCACCATCAATTTATAGTGTACAAGAGAAAAGGAGAAAACACCACACATATATTTAAAATAATATTTTTGTGGAGAAGGTGAAAGGTAGAAAAAAATAAATAAAAGATTCTAAAACTAAAGGGCATGAACTTTAAAAAAAACACAGCGCCATCTAGTCCCACGGTAAGCAGAGCTTGTGATATGGGTACTAGACAACTGATATACATACTAATATTTTTTTAAATACATACATAGAATGGGCAGATGGTAGCGATGGCAACAGTGGGCTGCGGCTTACAAAGTTATTCTAAGACCTTCCTAAGACACATAACAAATAACCCTGGACAATTACCACAGCGTCATTTAGTCCCACGGTAAGCAGAGCTTATGACATAAGTACTAGACAACTGATATAAATACATAGATTTTTTTATACACATACATAGAAAACACTAGGTCTAGCACACCGCTTTACGTCCGATGGTCGCGGGTTCGATTCCTCGCACGACACAAACATTTGTATTCATGAGTATGATTGTTTGTATCGGTCTGGGTGTTTTCTATATATAATATGTATGTTTGTAAAAAATTGTCACGATGAGCTAACTAACCTGAGCTCATGCTCATCTTATCCTCCACTGGTGCCCCGCCAGCGTAAACCGTTAGCGCAGGCGGGTGCATCATTCCATTATCATCCATAAAAAAAAAGTAAGTAGGTATAAATTAACTTATTATCTGTACGATTCTGTTGTATGCCTTTATTTATTCTATGTATGTTATTATTAATTTAATCTTAACACAACGTAACCCCGTTATGTGAAGTGGAATTGATTACTACAACGATATGCATATGCACGGGCCGCAGTAGTGCTCGCGCTCGTGCCTGCACGCGGCACGTGCTCGCGCCCATCTGGC